TCTTTTGGGTATGTCCTTTTTGAGGTATCCCTTCTTGGTTGGTTTCAACCGGGAACCTAAAGGAAAACCACTATTGCGAGAAGGTTTCCTACAAAAGCAGACGGCCACGTGTCATACTCGAAAACTGGTACTGGAATGTCCACTGAAAACCCATGGATAGGAATCAAAAGGGCAGCATTTGGCAAAAAAGGTGATGCTTAAACCGACGAAAAAAGGGAAATATGGTGATGGGTCAAAAGCCCGAACCCCCAGCGAACATCCCAATCCCCACTAAAATAGGTTCTAAAATGGGTGGTTCACCTACCCGAAAATGGTATCCCATTGGTTTTTACCCACAGCTAGCGGAAACTAGGCTGTCCAGTAGAGAGGATAGAATAAGTTGGTACCCTATTTGTTTTTTCTGTAGTCCATTTTAGTAGGAGAACCCTCCCCCCAAAACCAAACGGTGAGAAAGGGCACCCAGCTGGGGGACCTAGCACAAAAAGTCAACACCTCAATTGCAAGGTAATATAGGGTATAGGCTTTGTCTACCTTCATCTGATCATAGGCAGAGTTTAAAACCGCGAAAAAGGGAAACATGTCAACATCTCATTGTTCTTTCCAAAAACTGGCTGTTTTCCCTGGGTTTCTGGAGGTTTTCTAGAGAAAACTGATCCCTGGAAAGAATGGGAAAGGTACCCCTAGAGCTTCTCCTCAAACTTTGGGTCTTGCCTTGGGAACCAGGTCCTGGGCGTTCCAAAGACCGGCCGCCAGTTTTTGGTCGGCGCCTAAAAGGGGGGAACCCCAAGAAATCTCAGGACCGCTTCACCTTGGCCACACCAGCCAATCCCAGGCCCAGTCTCCTCCTCGAGGCTGGCTCGAAGCGCCAAGCGGCCCTGGCACATATGGGCGCTCTTCGGAAAGCTGGGCGGCCAGAAAACCAGGCCAGAAACACCAACTTGACCCACCTCTTGGGAAAACCAAAGCAGATTTGCATGCATACATTACATATATATGTATATATATATACATATAATAATGATAATGTTTCATGCATTAGACCCATAACATGCAAAACCATTTGCACACATATATTTTTGTTGGGGGATGTGCAGTTCACCATCAACGGGCAAGGAACGTTTCTCATGGGTCTCGTTTAACCCCCCGTGAGCGCGTTTTCCCATTTGTCCAGACCCAGTGGTAAGCAGAAGGCCATCGCCTTGAAAGGTTCAACTACGCAAAGAGGGATGTGTACATTATATATATATATATATATATTTCTATATATGGCTGTGGGTCAAAAATGGGTACCCAAAATGAAACCCTGGTAAAATGGAACCCATGACTTACAAAGGCGGTCCCCTGTGGTTTAATTTTGACCCACACCCATATGTGGCCATGGGTCAAAAGCCCGGTTAGCCCCCAGTGAATCCCAATCCCCACTAAAATAGGCTCTAAAAATTGTGGTGCACCTACCCCCAAAAAAGGGATCCCATTGGTTTTCAGCCACAGCCACGTGTGTGTGTGTGTGTGTAACATGGTTTGCTGAAATTTGCAACTTTAAAGGAATTTATCCTGGTCTCGCCATGCATCGGCTTGGATTGGTGACTTGGAGATGTCTTCTAGAGGCATTCCTGCAGGTTCCTAGTGACTTGGGCGACCAAAAAGCTTCGATGTGGGGCCATCTTGCTCCGGCATCGCTGGTGTGCCTCCGAGCTCATGGAACCGCGTGGGGAACCTGCTTTCGACATGGTCAAGATATTGTGGTTAAGGGAGACCACACTTTTTGCCTTCACTTACCTTAAATACATACCCTTATACACCCCATCTATACCCGCAGGATGGTACCTTCTACAGGGGCATGTAATAATTAGAGTTGGCCTTGGCGTCAACTACGTCCTCAAGAGGCGCACACCAATAATCTAAGAACACCTCGCCGAGTAAAACGCTTGATTTGGGCCGTTACCACCTGCTTGTACGATGCATGTGTTTGCCAAGTTCAAAGGGGAACACAAGGGACAAGGGAACCGCCCATACAATTGATCGTACATTACTAACCGTGTTTTTGGGGCAGTTGGCTTGCTTGCAATATCTGGGGCATCAACTGCAACAATGAACCGGTCATGAAACATCCTGGCTCAACATCGGGCGTCCCAAGAGGGTCGCCTGGTGGAAGCAATTGGTGGCAGTTGAATCTCCCACCCAACATCTCCTCCATGAAAACACCTGGACAACAAAAACTACATGCAGTGGTGATAGCTTCCCTTGAAAACCAACAAAGGACAACCAAACATCTGAAGCACGCGGAACATCTGAGACGCGGCGATCACCTGGCCTTCTGGACGATTTCCAGAACAGCCTAGGACAATGCTCCGGGTTTCCAGACCCTATCTGGGCGAAGTATAGTATTCCACCAGCCTGAAACAAGGTGGTTGGGGAGCCATTCCCCACATAAACCATTACTTGGGCTGAATTCGGTCGTGTGAGGTCGTTCTAATTCACCCAGACCCTATGCATCGTTGGACCCTCCAGTGAAGGGCTCTGGATCCCACGGGCAGGGTATGGACCTCACTCAGGGGCCGTTCTTTGAGGTCTCAGAATCTTAGGATATATCGTAACCTGTGCATCCACTGAAGGTGATACTGTGGATGGACGAAATCCATTTCGCACCATGTAAGAAACCAAAATAGGGCGCGCAATTCTGAGAAACTGCCATGTGTATGTGCACTTGATTGAATTTGATGATCCCAAGCACATATGCAAAAGGCTGTGCAAGTATCTGATCTTCGACTTGCAAATTTGGCCAGTGATATTCGACTTGCCAATTCGATTGCAAAAGAGTCACTAAGGAACTCCATTTGGACAACCAAGACATACTGTAGGCCTTCAGAAACCAGCTTCTCAGAATTTCGCACTGCTAAACATGGGTTGGCCAATTCAAGTTATCCGCAGAATCTGTGCAAGGCTCTGTACTCTAACCTTTCCATACTTCCTACGAAGGACAGGACCTGCGGTTCCGGGCGCGCCCGGGATGCAAGATGAACCCAAGGGCATTCATGTCTTCCAGATGTCCTTGAACTGAATACTTCGCTGGTCTTAGAGTGTCAAGTCAAAGTCTTAAAGTCTCTTTGAACACTCCATGTCCTCCAAACCAACAATCCTTGCCAGGGAATCACAGAGGCACAAAGGTGGCCTGACAAAATCGTAATGTGGGAGAAGCCTCGGGACTGGAACTAAGACACCTGAAGGCCTGTAGGGTCCCTTCGGCTTCTACATCAGTCAAACAACTTCCCCAAAGACATGAAACAAGTGAGGCGCCTTGGGCCTTGGGGCGATTGTTTGTGTCCCTCCGAAACGGACCATCTGAACATTCTGACCAAACTTCACGGAGCAACATTCCCTGGTACGCAAGGCGCCCACCCCAATTTTGCAAGGCACATGTACGCGGCCCCAAGTCCTCTATCAGCCATGGCAGCGTTGGTTCAATTACTTGCTCAACCCAGATACTGGCCAAAAAAAGTCCAAACTGCTTGTTTGCTGTGGTTTATTTGGACCTGGCTGCCCATTTGCTCTGATTTGTGGCAGTCGAGAGTGTCTTGGGTTGGTTTAGGATCAGTTGTTTTTGCCGGCTCAAACATCAATGAGGGCGGATCTTGGGATTTGGGGCTTCATGTAAGCATGCTCGTTGGGCTAGGTTTGGTGGTCTACCACAGCCAAGCCCAAACCAGCCCAAAACCGCCTGAAGCCACTGCTAACCCAGCCGCATCAGCCCCAAGCCAACCCAAAGCCACCCCAACAGCAGCCCGAAGCGACCTGAACCTTGCCATTGCATGCTGCAAACTCACCCACCAGCCCCCACCTCTCAGCCTCCCAGAAAACCAACAAGGTGTGGCCAACCAAGGATTAGACCCCAGGGCGAGGAAAAAACACAAAGCAGCGGCTCCACTACTTTGGTCTTCCGGAAATTTTGTTAAGTTCAGCAATCTGGGGAGTAAGTCAAAGCCAGCTTCTTGCGCCTCTTATTCACAGTTGGGGTCAATTGAACGTAGGTCCCCAAGGTGTTTGGTGATAAAATTGATATAAGTCCTGCAGGAAGCTACTTGCTGGTGCTCAGTTGGGAATGAGCCAGGGTTTGGGGAATCAACCTTTTGGGATTCCCCTTAAAGGAAACCGTAGGGCATGGATTTTCTCGTGGTTCCTGGAATCCCTGCCTATTGCAGCAGCAAAAACTAGCCACTGCTGAAGCCCCACCAAAAAGTGCGGGCCAGGCGCCGGGAACTTGCTCAAAGGCCTGGCGAACTCCTTGATGATGTCCATCAGCGGCAAGGACCTGACTTGGCTGCGGCGAGACGACCCCGCTGCCAAAAAAAACAGCACGATTTCTGTGGGTTCAATGGGAAATCCGGCCTGTTGGCCAAACGTTCAAGTCCAAACATCCACTTGGTTGATAGGTCTTGCTCAAGGAATCCACTTGGTTGCTGCAACGACCCAGGGATCATCCCTAGGTTTTGTTCAGGGAATCCACTTGGTTCTGGCGAGAGGACCGGCTCTGCAAACAGCTTCTCATTTTTTTCTGGAGAATCCGTGGCGTTTCGCAGCCATAAAGCTGGCCTCGGGTCCCCCAGGCCCCCAGGCTCATCGCTGGGAACACATCACCCAGCTTTAAACTGTCGCAGTGTCGCAACCAACAAGCAGTTCCCCCCGGTAGCAAGTTGACCATATGCGTCTTCAAACAGGGAACCCTTATTGGTGGTCACAGGGGCCTTCACAAAAGTCCAAGGCGCCTCATGGCTATCAGATGGTCAAGGGACCTCCCAGAAACCGATGAGGTCACGAAACCAGCCATCCTTCGGGGCCTGGAGACCTTCTCGATGACTTCGTTGAGTAACGTCAACCAACATGTTCGAATCGTTATGAACATAGCTCAAAAGTGATAGGCGGAGCTTTTCATCCCACCGAATTCTGATGTCCTCCATGTAAGGCCCCGCAAAATTCAAAACCACGCCAGCCCTCAGAACCCCTCATCCGCTCACCATCCGCTCTCGGCCAGGTGGCTGTGGATCCTCCGTGTTGGGCGGCGCCACCCCGGCGTCCACCATGAACGGCAGCAGGTCCTCCCTCCGAACGCCTGATCGTTGCGTGAGGCTTCCGCTGAGCTTGGCCCGGAGTCCAGCAGAAGTGCTGATACCGGTACTCAGTTGCTCAGTGACCCTGGAAAAAAGGGAACCCTTTTTGGGGAAAACCATTTTTAGTAAAACTGAGGGTACAAATAAACAAAAGCAAATCACCTGGTACATGTAGACTTGGTTGAAGTTGGAAGGGGAGCAACAATTCTATTTAGCAGTTAAGTGGGGTTGGATTTCAACCACTAAACCAGAATTAGCAACAAATGTAAAATGTTTCCCAACAACAACCATGTAGAAGCCCTTTGGAAGTGGGGTTGGAAACACAAGGTCCCCATCCCAAAACAGGCCCACTAGGATTACGGGAAACATCACATTCTGGGAGAAAGCCATGAGAATTGACCAGCTGGACATGAACGATCCTCGGTTGCGAAATCTGCTCCCCTGCTAACAGTTTAACTTTTAGCGGTTTAATGGAAAACCCATTAGTTGGCAAAAAAATAAAGTCCTAACAGCCAAGCAAAATGCAACAAAGAATCCATCTTGGGTAAGCTTGTGTTGTCCTCCCGAGAAGCTTCATGGGTGCGGCCTGTTGCACCCCGGAAGCTACGGCTTGAACCTGAGAAGCAGAGCCCACTGCATGATTTTACCTTTCATTTGGTTCAGACCCCTGGAAAAAACACATTTTTCCAGTAGTAATAGCTTCCCTCTAAAACCAACAGGGAAAATTCAAGAAACATATTGATTTCAGCAAATGGAAGTTACACAAGGGGCGGAAAAGAACGAAGTGCCAAGCCTTGTTCAGGCTTGTTGAAGGAGTATCGCTCGAAGACCTTCCAGAGGAACGGCAGGCTCGCCCCTGAGGCGCAAGCGCAGGGTGACGTGAAGCTGAGCAACCGAGAAACCAACCGAAAAACACGTGGCTCTGGGTCAAAAATACATACCCAAAATGGGTTGCCTCCATCCCCACATATTCGACTCGTGCTGGGTGTAAAATAGGGGTTCGGAAACAAAGGAAAGAGACACCAACCCGCTATGAGCTATGCAGCACCCAAAACAATTGACCGTGGGCTGCTGCAAATTGACATGTTTCGAGTTGGACACATGGCCAAACATGGGGACAAAACCACCCAGTGACATCCAATAACCCCTTGAGTAGCTCTGGCAGCTTCTGTTGAACTGACTGCTTGATATGTCAGTGAGGCGAGGCACTGATTTCATGCATCTCAAGCATCTCGAATCTTGGCTGGAATTAGGACCCCAGCAAGAAACGATAAGATAAACGATATGTGTTGCATGGTTGGAAAACACAGAGGACCCCCAACTATTCAAAAAAAAAAAAAAACAACACTGATTCCGGGGAAGGACATGGCGGGCCTTTCGATGGTTTCAGACCGGTTCCTTCTTGTTCCCAGGCGGCGGTTGAAGTGATTCAGATTCAGCTCATCATGGGGGCTGGGGGGGAGGGGAGGGAGCTCAAATAAGCCCTGATTAAGTCCTTAAGCCCTTATTTAGGGCTTATTTGGGCTCTCCCCCCCCCCTCCCACCCCCCCAGCCCCCATGAAGCTCATATCCAGAGCGGTTCTTTTTCGCATGCCTTGCCACTGGAATGCCAAGGAGCGGAATCCTGGTGCAACCGGGGCTATGGTCAAAATTTAACCAGGGGACCGCAGGCTTTAGTCCTTGGTTCCATTTACCAGGGTTCCATTTTGGGTACCCAGTTTTGACAACCACAGCCAAAAGATAACTCCTAGTCCCTTCCGGAATGGCGAAACCGACCAAGGCGCGAAACTCGTGCATGAGCTCGGGCTCGAGGTCAAACCTCAGAGGAGCTCGTGCCGCTGATCTTGAAATCAGTTCAGGACCATTCACTCAAATCTGGGTGGTTTCTATCAATTTACCAACCCCAAATAAAGCCTTCTTACAGTACAAAAGCAAACTTTAACACGGCTGCTGAGGCGGCAACGGCGCTTGCAAGTTTCAGTTCCCTCCCCCCAAACAATAAGACAACTTGGTATTGTTTGCTGGAATGTGTTTGCCAGTGACGGCAAAAAGCGCACCCCAAATCCATGGTGTCGTCAATGTCTGCGCCGTTCCATCAAAATGGAATACGAGAAACTGAGCAAGAACCCAACAAACACGGCGGGTCACCCTTTAGGTGATTCTGCCCCAGCACTGACTGAAGCAACATATGGGTGTGGGTCAAAATTCAGCCCAGGGGACCGCAGGTTTTAGTCTTTGGTTCCATTTACCAGGGTTCCAACTTGGGTACCTATTCTTGACCCACAGCCATATCGCGGCAAGGGTCGGCTGGCCAGTTGAGTCACCTTTGGCTGGCCAGTTGGCTGGCTTGTTGCTTGGCTGCCTGGGCGGCTCATCGTTGCTTCACCCAGGGACAGGTCGGCAACGTGTTGAACACAACGACCCACAACCACCCATGGCCATCCAGGCCTCCACACATGGGTGATGTTACATGAAGCACAAGCACATATGACTTCTAAAGGAGAGTCTCGCAACAACACGTTGAAATAAGGTCACCCTCTATTTTTTTGTATTAGTTTATTTCAACCTCCTGCAAAACATGATTGGTGTGAACCATGGGTTTTACTGCGCGGTTCTGGCTCTTTTGGTGGGCTTACTCGTTATTTCCAATTGCTTTGCGGCTTGCCCCTGGTCCTTTTCCACTTTTTCGAAAGGTGGTCCCCTTGAAACTTCGACCACTACAAATTCGAGGGCCCTTTTCTTGCCTTTGGCGGGGAAACCCATCACTCAAAAGGGGCGCTTCTTTGTTCGACTTGCTTGGGGGGGAAGTTGGAAGAAGCGGACTTCATATCCAGGGGAACAGGTGCTCCCGGGCTGCCCCTGCTCCAAGCCCCCCGCTTCTTGGCGATGAGGACCTCCTCTCTGCGGCGCAGCGTCAGCAGCTTGGCGCGGACCTTTTTGGTCCGAAAATCGGCTCCCTCTCGAGCCTTGCGGGGAAGACTCACTGCTGTTCTCGTGATTAGAGTTAGGCCCAGTTGTAGAATGTATATTTTGCTGTTTGCTTCAGTTTGAGTCAATGGTAAAATGTCAAATGTATCCTAAGTCTGCCCCAGTTTTGTTTGGATGAAGGATTGCTGTTCAACCCAAACGAGAGCAGGGCGCCTGAGACTCGCTATGGACCCTTAGAGGCAAGCCTCACAAGCGAGCCGTTTAGAAATGGACAAGTCTGCGAGGGTCCAAGGTCGGGCTTCAACATCCCCCTATCCAAACCACCAATGGTCACCTTCCCTCTGTTTGGATCGGTTTTGAGGCGATGGTTTCGAAAGATGTCACTGCCAAAATTGCGGGGGCCTTGGAACACGAGTCACAAGTCAAGCTTTTTGTTTCGCTGAGGTGCGGTTCCTTCCGCACCTCATTGGGCCCCCCAGTCCAACCCAGGAAAAAGAACAAAACACTTTGCGTGTTTCTTCTCTGCTCCTTTAAGATCAACAAGCCAGGCGTGCATCCTTCCGGGGCTTCCCTTGGCCCAGGTGCTGGACGATGCCAGTTTGACCAGCGCCCTTTCCAACTCCATCCAACAAAAAGCCGAGCTCGCCATGTACAAGTTGCTGCCTCCCACCCTTTTGGGGGTCGAACTCGCCACCCCCCCGGCGCCCACATGTCGAATTCTCGCCTTCTGGACAAATGTCTGGAACTCATCCAGGTTCATTGAGCCTCACGTGGGCGTGGTTTTTTCGTTTTTCTTGGGGCAGCAGCGGAATGGGGGGTTCTTCCAGGGCTACCAGAATGCTAGAACCCGCAACACAAGACCAAATAAAGGCAGCATGAAAAAACCCGTTAGTCAATAGTCTGCTTTTGCACTACCCCCTTTTAGGTTGGTTTGAAAGGAACATTTCCACTGTTGCTGCCCTACTCAACCAATTCCATTCTTGTCGCGGAGCTCTGGAGTGCTTCTTGTTTTTGGATCAGTTTGTGTTCGAGCTTTCCGCCAAATGGGGCCAATTCGCTTGTCTGGACTGTGTCCAAGAACAGGGGCTTCCCCATCTGGCCATGTTTTGCCAAGCCCGGAGTGAGGCCGAGAGGCCGAGATCTGGGAGGGACTTCCGTAAGGCAAGGTCCAAGCCAGTTCTGCGAGGTTAGAATAAGCCCCAGGAGCCCGAGACCCATATAAGCCTTAGACCCCCAAAGGCCTCGTTCTTTGAGGTCTTGGGCTAGGGAAGGGTACCCGATGTTTTTTTCAGTTTCGTCGATTTTAGTAGAGGAACCCTCCCCCAAAAAAAAGAAGCCGGAGAGAAGGGCACCAATTGCTGGGGGAGGGCAAGGTGTGAAATGGGAAGCCCCACGGCTGGTTTCCCGGCGCCTCCGACATGGACGGAGGCAAACTTTTCCCTCAAGACACCTGGAGTCTCCATGACCCTTCAAAAATGGGTCCATGACCCCTTTATTTTGGGTAATGACCCCATTTTTAAAGGGTCATGGAGACTCCAGGCATTCCCTTGAGCAACCCGGCGGCGTTCTTGGAGATTCCCGCCAAAGCACAAAGCAAAGAAGCAAATTCATGGCGAGCTCTAAGTGTCCATGGGACAATCGACGGAGGAAACTGCTGACCTCAGCGATCACAACCTGGGGCCGGGGTTCAACTTGTTCTGACACATGGTTGTCAAAAACGGGGGATCAGGGGAATCCTTCTTGGAACCCGATTTGAATTACATTCTGGTCAAAAACAGGCCCCCTTCTGGCTGCCTCTTTGTTGGAAGCACCCACCAAGCGGCGCTGGAGAAAAAGAGGACAAGGAGCCGTCCCCATCTGCATCGCACTGCGTGAAGATGTTTGTGGCCTGCGAATCGACTCTGCCGGAAAGCCGATCATTCAAAGGGGCTCGCTCCAACATGGGCTGGGTGAACCACACTGGACACGTCGCAAGCTTGCAGTTTGGGGCACTCATGCATTCGAACAACCAATTCGTTGTGAGGTTGTCATTTACCAAAATACAAGAGAGGGTCTGGACAAATCGAGACAAAGACCCATCCCCTCTAAGGGTTTCCAACACGCACGCCCTTCAGAATTGCAAATTGCACGCCCTGAGTATCGATACGTAAGTTGCTAAATGGGTGTGGCTCAAAACTAAAGAACTAGGGCAAACCGCAGGTTTTAGTCTTCGGTTCCATTTGCCAAGGGGCAATTTTGGTACGTGTTTCAGCCTTTTCCCAATACTTAGATAGTCTCAGCTACCTTTCGGAACCGAAAAAAGAAGCCACTGAACGACCCCCCCCCTGGGCCCGCCTCAGAGGTCTCCTCCGGGGAACGGAGGTAGAAGCCCAACTTGTTTTCCTCAGATTTCGAGACGAGTTCTTCGCGGAACTTGGTTGCAACGAGCTTGTCCCAACAAGATGTTCACTGTTTGTGGGTCCAGTTGCAACGAGTTTTTTTGCAACAAGTTGCGCTTTCCACTTTTTATGGGTCCAATCCAGAACATCCGAGCTCTTTCCCCAAAAGAAGGGTACTCCAGAGCCCGGCGGCCAATCCAAACCCATTGGGGCTAACCTGAACCTTTCCCGGATTGTGATCAATGGGCGAAAGCCTGGGCAATGCGAGGACGCTGCACTCAAACATACGCGGGAGGCTCACAAGAACAACACAAAAGTTCATCCGGGCCAAAAGGTATGTGTTGAACATGAAGATGAGCAAGCACAACATGCAAGAAGCTCGCTCATGCAAGTTTTTCCTTTGGAAGGCCGAGAAAACGTAGATCAGTACAGAATGGCATGTCAAAGGCCATTTTGGAGAAGCTAGCCTTCAACTGAGCTGTGGTGTTTGACAACATCTAAGCAATGCACCATTCCCTCCCAGCCACTGGCAGTCGCCAGTGTTTTATTAACTGGTGGCACATACCTGAATCCGAACTCAAGGGAACTACGTCGGATTCGAAGGCCTCCTTCAAAGCGGTAAATGCACGGTACGTTGATTGGCCTTTGCCACTTCCATCCCTGCGAAACTCGAATCTGATGTCTCGCTGCATACCTTTCCTGGAACATGGGATCCTACCAGCTACCCAACAGTGGATGATGGAACTTGAGATGCACCCCTGAGCTGGTCTGTCCACACGGCGGGAACAGGTGGGGGAAAGTGGCAAAACAGGAACCCGCCGTGGCCGAGCTTGCTCAAAATCAGAACATTGCCTGGATCTTCGTCCTCCTGAAAAAAAACCGTAGTTTCCGCCTTTGACCGGATATTCGGGAAGTCGTAGCACTTGTTGCCGCAAAAACCTGAAACTCCTAAAACTCCTAAAAACACACACTATTGCAATGCTCGTGGCCTTTGACAGGTTAAAAGAAGCTTTGCAGGGTAAACGCCTTAAAGCAGCCCGATATTTTGTCAACACATGCAACGGCGGCCCAAAGTTGTGCGGTGCAGAAAAAACGTACCCATTTTGACCGCAAAACACCCGCACATTTCCGCAAATCTCCCGCAAAAACCCGCAAACTCCCGCAAATCAGAAAAAGTTGTAGTTTTGATGATCAAGGCATCCCATGCATGGGGTGCACTGGCACGTGGGCAAGTGCTGCGAGGTGTATTTACTTTGTATTGCCAATGCACGACTGGAAGCGACGCAATTCGTATGTGTTTTTGCCCAAATTGTAGCTAAACCACTGGAATTCGGTAAATCGTAGGGGTCTCCTAAAACACCCAGAAATTTCCCGGAGTTTGAAGGTCCAGGTGGATGGATTGTGAACGGTTCTTCGATATCTGTTCCAGGCCATGGGTGGGTGGGTGGGTGGGTGGGTGGGTGGGTTGAGGTGTCCTACGTGTTAGAATGCCGTAGCAGGGATCCAAGGCCTTGGGGTTGGGCTGGGGGGGGGAGTGGGGGGGGGGAGTACCCTTGGGGGGTGGGGTTGGTGGCCTGGGGGACTGGGAGTTGTCAACGCTCCGGCCCTGAAATGCTTGCGAGGCACCAGCAGGTTCATAATTTCCTTGGTATCCAGGCTGTCCCGGCCATGGATGTCTGCCTGCACAAGCGCATGGCAAACACGATAGAAAGGTCGTGTGCAAACTTGGTGCATCAAAATGACCCTGGGCCCATTTGAAGGAAACCGATGTGAGTCATGTGAGGATGCTGCCCATCCCAGCAAGGCATGCACTCGAGCATATTGCACGCCCCACAAACACCCAGTACTTCGATGAAATGGGAATGTGTCAAAGACTACAAACAGCCCCTCCCAATGCAAAGGTGTCCTTTTTTAGTTTAACGTCTCCGGAGATGAATTTAACACCGCTGAGATACGTCGGCATCCCAAGAGTGAAGAGTTGCAAAGACTTGGCCTATTCAAACTTCGTAACCGTCATTTGCAGGCCCTACACTTTCCGAACTAGGATCCAGTGGATCGGCTGTCACATCCAGCTGTTGAGAAAGCAGCTCTGCCGTTCGGTTGCTAGATTTGCGCTTATTCCTTGGGCGCGCATGAATCTCTTGCATGGCCAAAACTCTGTCAGTTGAGGGTCACACCTCCTTTTGAGTTCCGGGCACCGTCCAGCCCATACCGCTGAATCAGCCTCGCAACCCAACAAAACAAAACCGCTTCCCCATGCTCCAAGAAGCCCAAGGCCTGATCCGCCGCAAGCGAAACCTCCAACCTGATGTTGGGTAGTTTTTGTTCGTACCTAAAAACAAAGCTGGAAGCATACGCGGATGCCTCCGCAGGTGTGGAAATATGTAAAAGGGCGCCTGAGCGGGCCTATTTCGGCAAAACGCGCCTACGAGGGCCTACACGCGCCAGACAACAACTCCGCCCATTTAGCCATGCAAGGCTTGGTCAAAGTGTCCGGCCGAAAGCGAGTGTGCAACAACTAGCGCAATCCCCCTCCAGAGGGGTCCTCCCCTGTTCCCCAAATGTAACGGCTACCCTTTTGTTTTTTCTTCCGCGGAAACAAATGGAAGACCATCTGAGTATTTTGGAGGAGCATCCTCTTGACAACTCCACTTGTCTCTCGAAAAAAGGGTGAACCCTCCTCTTCTTCTTCTTGGTCGTCTTCTTCTTGGCACCAAGGGAGCTATGTCTCGTCCGCAACAGGTTGGTCTTGGACCCCCAGCAAAAGGTGCGTTGTCTTGCTTAGGGAATGTCTGTGTGTGGTTGTGTGTTTGCGAACTTTCAAGGACAGTCCGTTGATCTTGATAGGGAAACACGGGAGAACGCCATTTGTTGGCTGTTGGTGTCCAAATCCCCAGTTTACGATTTCCATGCCGGTGTCCAAACCCCCGCTTCACAACAAACCCGTGCATCAATTCTATCCCTGAAGGTACCCTCCCATCCGCATGGAACCTCGCAAGAGACGTCCCGCGCCTCATGGAAGAGCCTCCAGCACTTGATGCTTTGCACCTCGCAGCGCTCGAAATCGAACAAAAGCTGTGGCTCTGGAGTTATTTTTGGGACCGCCTTTAGCTTAATCATCCTTATTTGGTGAAAACCGCCTTGGGTTCTAAAGGGGAGCCACCAGAACACCATATTTTGGGACTCCCCCCTAGCCTGAGACAATCCATCTTCCGTGTGAAAATGATAACTCTTTGGATGTCTTCGAAAAATCACAAGGAAACTCGCCATTTCTAGGTGTCCAATCCCCATGTTGTCAACACATATATATGTCTATCTTGTTAGAACCCGTACCGCCCAACAGGGGTAGCTTCAAAGGCGCTTTTAAAGACACCAATATTTAACTGTTGGTATCTCACACCCTGGAAGACTCATGGAGTCTAAAGTCAAAAAACATGTCGAGGAATCTAATCAACTGGGGGATCTCACTTTTGGAAGATATGCAAAATCACACACGTTCAGCGCCCTGCTGGCACAATCAGGAGTCCAATCAAATCCGTCCAATCCAAATACACAGCCTATCAAGAAAACCATGCACAAGCTCCGAATTTGACCAAAGGGAAGCCACTCTCTGACTTCATCCCGGCCGAGACAAAAGATTCCGGACCCTTGCGGACGGGTGCATGTCTGGACCCGTGCGGACTGGTGCACATCCGATTTGGAGAAAATTGGACATCCAGTTGGACTCCCAACCTACCCTGCCGGGGGGGCCGTCTTTTTCTTTTGAGATAAAACGAGGCATAGGCGTCGCAGCGCGACACGTCGCCCGCAAAGCCGGTTGTCGCGAAGCCGCCTGCTTCAGCCGCTCGCGCACCGACTTGGAGAGGTCCAGGAAGCCTTCGAAGCCAAACTCCTCACGAGCGAAATCTGACGCCTGACGCGAAGCGGGGAGCCAAAATGGGTCCTCCATTTGCCTAAGTCCCCTGGAAAGAAAATAATATTTCCAGTAGTGATAGATTCCCTTTAAAACCAACAGGGGAAAATCAAAACATATTCTAAACCAAATGGAAACCCCAGTTTTCAAACAAAGGGAACTACAGCTGAGCCAAAATGGGGGGAACCCCGGTGTTGAAGGAAACCAAAAGGCAATCCAAGCCATGGGGGCCCCCCAATTTTGAGACCCAAAAGATAGATCGCCGGACTTCCACGAGGCAGAAACTGTCTCCAAATCGGAGACTCGCATCAAATTTGTTGGTGTCTCGTGTTTCCCTTTCAAAACCATCCCCCAAAAACCGACATTTACGAAACACTGGTGGACCAAAAGAAGGAAGAGGTCAGATCTGGCCGACTTGCGTATCCGGAATCTCGCATCGTTCTTCTCAAAAACCAGCTGTTTCCCCAGGGTTTTTTGTGTTTTGTTAGAGCAAAGATCCCTGGAAAGAATGGGAAAGGTACCCGTAGAAGATTGCTGCGGATCTCCGCCTTCTGAATTATTTACATGGTGGCTGGGTATCGACCTTCTAACCCCGGGTTATTGATCGCTTGAATGACGCAGAACTCCAGCGGCCGTGGAAGAAATGCCTCTGAGACATATTGTTTGAACGCAGTTCTTGTCAAACCGCGCCAAAGATGCGACAGGAAGCCAAGTGGATCACGACGCAGCTTTGTCGCCAGCACTTTGCTGGTGAGACAAGTACGGAAACTCAAACAAGCAACGGCCAAATGTATGCTCGACTGGCAGAGCCCCCCGTCCTCACAGCCTATCTTTTGAATCTTTTCATTGATGCATTCCACCACCTGTCAGGTCACACTTCGCAGACTGAAGCGGACCCGGGACTCAAGCATTAGTCTAGGGCCTAGGGATGGAGGTGGTCGCTGAAGTCTTCTCAGGACTGAAAACTGAAAAGCCCTAAGCGCGCATATACAACAATACTCGCGCCCTCCAAATGTGCAATGCCTGGACTTGACATGCTGCGCGTTCAAAAGCCTCATTTGTTGTCCAAAGTCCAGCACTCTGAAAGGCCAGCATCAAAACTATGTGCAAGGAGCGAAGCGGCCTCTTTTGACTCTAAACCAGAGCACCCTCGATACTCAGACAGCTACATCTTTATGACCGAAAGCGTGATATGCCCCTTGCGCTTCATTGTCCATCAGCATCGCCGGGCACGTTCCCGATTCCCTCGCGCGGGCGCATTACGCACCCATGCAAACCATGCAGCACAGAAACAAAGGCGTGCACACGCACTAGCTTCGCTGCCTGGCAGAATACGCTTTGCCACATAGAGACGCACACACAAACACTGAAACTTCCATTGATAGACGTGTCGTGAGCCATCTTTCGCTGCCGCAGTCCGCAAATAATAGCCTTTGTTTACTGTTAACCGGAAACCCCCTATTTTGGAAGCTACGTGACAGATTGCAGACAAACAAAGAACAAGGTGCTGGATGAGGTTTGGCTGAAGCGACCATCCCAATACACACCCAGTAGAAATCTCAAAGAAATCTCACAACTACAACTCGGTTCGTCTCAAAATGGGCCAACCATCAAAATGGGTCGTGTCCTTTACCTGGACTTCCCTTTAAATCAACCCAACAAGTACTGAGCACCCACCCAATTCTGCTGGGTGTCTTTTCGGAATCGGACCCCCCAAATTGGATTTCGCTGTTCCTTTCGGCTTCCCTCTAAAGTCTCCCCCCCACAAAAAAAAAACACACAAAGCACGAAAAAGTACCAACTCCAGAAAACACAAAAACCCGGGCTCCGACTCAAAAACGGCCTCATTGACCAAACCTCGCCACTCGCTGGCTCAAAGACGGCCTTGACCTGGCAGCCACATTGGCCGCACCATGTTCCCGCCGGCCAAACTTCGGGGACCCCGCGCCTCCAACTTCTCCTCGCGGTTCTGCGGTGTGAGGCCCATGTCCGCCAAGATGTTCCGCACCTCCTGGCGGGGATTGGGTATCCGAAAAGACGTGAGCCCATCTTGATATACGTTTCATGCAACTTCCTCCTCTTCACACTCCTGTCAACTCGCCAAGGGGGACCCAACTGGCAAACCCATTGGCACCGCTGATCAATCCACTCAGCCTCTAAGTCCAGAGTGCCACTGCCGTCGAAGTCGTAGTGCCGGAACTGCACGTCCAAGTTGTTCACCTCAGATTTTTTCCATGAGAGGAGCTAGACCCGCGCGGAGGATTTTTTCTTGTTGATGTGGGTGGAGAAATGGAACAATTCCCATCCCCTTTTGGCTTCCGTTTGAGGACATGGAACTTTCTGTGCTTTTTTTCAGCGCCCAATTGCTTCTTCAAGCCCCCCCACAAGGCACTATGTTTGTGGAAGGCAGGCTACATTTTTTAATTAATGTTCTCCATGGGGAAAAGCAGCTTCTGGGACTCTCTGGGTTCGGCTTTGGACAGAAGCTTTGTCTCTTTTCTGCATGAGAAATGGGTACTGGGCAGCTGGGGCCCAGCAATGTTGACCCCCTGTTACTCAACCCCAGCGTATTAATAGGGGGGGTTCCCCTCCAAAAGGGAACAATCCCCACCAAAACCAGGGACACCCCCATATGAATTCACATGGGATTAGGGGGTGTTCATTCTCTGGGACTCTCTGGCATTGGCTTGTGAAATGCTTTGTTTCATAGGAAACAATTGGGGGGGGGGGGGCAGGAAGCGGCGGGGGCTCTTCTTTGAGTTGATGGCAAAGTTCCGAGAAGGCCTGGGGAAGCAACCTGGGTGTGCCATGTGCCAACGTGCCTTCGTCGCCCTCCCCAGTAAAACGGGGACTGGAGGAAAAGAACAGATATCAAACTCATGTTTGGTCTGTCTGGTTTGGTCGAAGAACCTGAAACTACAAAGGTCAGCCGTTTGGAGCCTTGGGTCAACTGAGTGTTGGGAAAGTGACAAAAGGCAAACTTTCCCAGATCCAAGTTCTTCAATTTTGCTACTTGGTGAAAACTACAACTCGTCTCGCAGAATGCTTGCACTGTTGGGATGTTTCAAAGCCAATGCCGAAAAGTCGGCTGAAGGAGCCGTTGGTCGATAGACAGGGTTCAAACTGTCCCTTGGCGGATGTTCAGAGTTTAAGATCCACTGGATTCCAGAGGATCCTATATACAGGGTCATAACACGCACAAACAAATACAAACAACAAGAGCAAAACCACCCGTGCAGAAAAAAGCACACTGTGTGTGTGGTTTTAGGGGAACGCTCCAAAACGGTGTGTTTCTTGTTGTTTTCCCTTTGAACCTACCAACAAAAAGGGAAAAAAAACAACTCGCAAAATTCGGAACCAAACCCAAGAGCCCAGCTCGCCTCTTGCTCCGGAAGGCCCATCTTGATGGCAAGCCCCTTGAGCTCCTAAGAAAAATATGGCCAACGACGAAGCGAGAAAAAGAAAGAGAGCCTCTTGCTTGGGCTGGGCAACCAACGATACTAACAAGGAACCATGAAAGCCAGAAACAAAAGAGCATCTGTAATGATTACCAAAAGGGGTGATTTCATACAACTTCCTTCTTGTGCTGTGTTGGTAACAGGCACCATAAAATTTAAAATGCCCAAAGGGGTCAATCTGGACAATCTGATTGGCTCCGAGGCTCAGGTACAGCGGCGACCAAGAAGCATGGGACATGTGAGTCCAATTTCGACAAATCCACAAGGACCGTCCCCTCTCAGTGGATTAGATCAAGCTCTCCGGGCGAGCAACACACACGCAGCATTTGGAGGTTCCGTGAGAACAAAAATCCTTCGAAACCCCACAACTCGCCTCACAACCTTTTGTCACTTGGCTATGAATTTCAATACGGAACCGCCTCAAACGCGGTTGGTGGACATGAGCCCCATCAAAACGATGTCCGCCAAAAAGTCTCGAATTGAAACTCATGCCCCTGCGAAAGAAATCCGGGCCAAGGATCTGCCTTTCATTTCAACACCTGGAAGAAGGGCGGTCAGATTCCTCTCCCCCAAAAGAGCGAGCGCTCGCCGTGGAAGGGTCCCACCCAGAATAAGCCATCACCGACCCCCCCCCACCGGTCACCCTGCCCGCCCTTCCCCCAACAAACACAGCTCCACCAACCCCAGTCCTCGTTGGAGATGCCATACTGCTCCGGACGGTGCACGCTGCCACCCTGTGCCGAACGGGGCCCTTCCCAAGAACTCTGCTGGTGTTTGATGCTTGGTTGCTATTTAGTGACGTATTGCTTGTGGTTGTTTTGCTGCACCACATCTCAAGTATTGGCCAGCTGCAACTAGAGCCCACTTCGGATCGGGACAACCGCGCAATCAGGGGCGGTTCCGCCTTTGGACTGAGAATGGATCTGCCAAGGCTGCTCTTGCCAGGAAACCAGCAGCCATACAGCTGACGACCATTGCGCCGTATGCTATACCTCTTCTCAGCGTGGCTTCGAACGGAATCCCAGAGGAAAAGGAGCAAACCTGTTGGAAGTTAATGTGGTGCGTATGTTAGCGCTTCTCAACATGGCTTCAAAGGGAATCCGAAAGAAAAAGAGAGAGACACAACTTGTTAGGATATAATATGAACCCTGATTGTCGCGACCGCTTTCCGGCGCACGACAGAAGCTGTTAAAAAAAGTAAAGCAGATACCTGCAACGGAAGTCACCCAGTCGAAATGTCCAACAGACTCCTGACATAGCAAAAGTCCCCCAGCCAAGGCTTTAAGCGACGGTCCACGCGAAAGGCTTTAGCGACGGTTTAGCGCGTCAATATGTACAACAGTCAAGTTGGCATCCAGAGTTTTTTGGCGCTGCTCAGCTAGCATCTGCAATTGCGTGCGCTGGTTCTGCGTGACCATGGTGACGGCGGCTTGCCGAGAAGTGGCACCTAATCCCTTGTCTTTTTTAACAGGATAACCAATAAGCAGCAATTGGCAAGAGTCACACCAAACACGACAGAACGCAGAACCAAAACAATCAGAGTCGCAAACAGCAACACAAACAAGAAAGCAACATACACACGCACACATAGAACACATAGCAATGGTCATGGTCTGCACAAAAAAACATATATGTTCGCCACAAACCCACACATACACACACCCACTACTACTGGGCCTTGGATAGCTTCGAATCGAAGAGCTTCTTCAAGTAGTCGATGCGGTCGTGGTATCTCATTTGCATATACCTTGGCCCGGAACAAACTCACAGTCAAATACTGTAGTCATCTAGACATCAGTGAATCAGCGATGTATGAACTGTGTATAGAAGTATGTCCTCAATAAGGCCTTATAAAGGGGTTAGTCTCTATAACATATATATATATATATACAATATGACAAAGGCTTGCTTTTGCTGGGACCACGCAATGACTGCTTTCCACTGGGTAGCCCCATGTATATATACATATATATAGGAAGGTGTTGTGAAGGGCTTTAACAGAGCGGAGAAAGCCGGGGACTCCCAAAAGCGCTCTTTTTCATGTTGGCTTCCCGTTGAACCAGGTGACCATGTGTTCCCTTTACGCCAGGTGACAAGGTACCCGCAAAAAACAACAACCACGCACACACGCAACTACCTAGCGCCGCCCTAAAAGGGGTGTGCGCCGTGTAGACCTTTCACTCACATTGGCCAAACATCACGTGCAGCCTCCGTTCCCCTGGCGGCTGCCATGGTAGGGGCTTCTACTATCTGGTGTGGCGATTATACTGACTGAGGCCATAGGTGTCCTTTCAGGGGCAATGGATGGCCCTGGTAGATGATTAAACTTGATTAAGCCATGTAAACCGGGACCAACTATTTTTCCACCAAGCCAACCATGCAGGACACCTATGACTGAGGCGGCCTGCACAAATTACTTTCTTGGCAGAACAAACAAAGAGGTTTTGGCGCCGCTCACCAAAAAACATGCTTTTTCTCAGTCCAACTTGGCTTTCCCCATCAAGTGCCTCCTGTCAAATACTGATGTAACGCCAAAGCAGCAAGGGCCCTCAATTGGTCCTTGGAGACTTTTAGGCTGCTGTGGCTCTCCTTGCGTTGCTATGGCTCTGAATCAAGTTCCGACTTTGTTGTTTAGGAGGCTCTAAAGACAACCCAAAAGGAAAACAACCATGTTAGGGCATTCCAATGTTGAGATGGCCCTAAGTCATGAGCCTGACATACATCCATTCGCCCTCTCTCAAAAAATCATGGCAGTGGAACATTCGGGGCCAAACCTTCAAAGCAAAGCTTTCGTCATCCCACGCCCTCCGATCAGGCGGGTCGTGTTGCCTTTGCGAGAAAATGGGCGACTTTCCTTAAAAAGGAATCCTAGACCTACGAGGGGGTCGAACAAACTTCCACAACTTGGCTGGAATTAGGACCCCAGCACAAAAATATCTTTTTTGCCAGGTTAGTGGAAAACAAAGGGAACCCCAAAAAAGCAAAAAAGCAAAAAGGGGAGCAAATTCTGGTGGAGACAAAAAATGGCCAAAGACCCCCCCGCCTCCCGTCAGCTTCCACGGTTGGGAAGCTCTCCCCAGTCTTCCCGATTTTAGCCAGGCCGCCGGAAGGCCAGGTTGATGCAGCGCCTGGTCTGAAGCATCACCTGAGAGTCTCTCAAGCACTGGGCGATGAACGCGTACTGCCTGCTGTAACCAGCATCGGCAACACATCAGTAGATATATATATATATATATATGTATTTATATATATATATATATATGTTTAGGTCTATGATGTGTGTATATAAATATATAGAGATACATACGCAAGGCACTGATATATGTTCATGCACGCATGATGACATGGTGTACATAGTGGAACACAAAACTATTAACCAACTCAGGTGTCAGCACATGTATGGATGCAGAGAGTTGGTCCTCAAGGACCAATGGACCGATGTGTTTGAAGGCCAATTCACGCATCAAGAACAAGCATGACACATTCCCCCACCTAATCTTGACCCTCTATTATCCAACTCCTGTTTATTGCTAGTTGTTTTCTGGATCTTGTGAAGAAAATCAGACCACTTTTGGAGGGGCTAAAAAAAAAAAAACACTTGCAAACTGGGGTTTTCGAATTCATGGCCCAACATTCGCCTTACGGCAACGACCTGCGGTCTGTCAATCCCCTCCCCCCGCTGGTCATTGGGCCCGCTGGCATCAGCCTGCACGGCGCGCCGGCGCCCAGTCAGCCTCCGGCGAAACGAGAAACGTGGGGGACCCCTACAGCCAGCGAGTGAGGGTCCACCAAGCAGCAACGGCTCCAAAAAGGATGGGAATAGAAGCAAAACTAAGTGATTTGTTTTTTTAGGCATTAAGCAGGTGGCTATTGTTAAAGCCAACTATTGGTTCAGAATCCTTCGGTCTTAGTTCTTTTAGCTTCGCGACGGTTCTCAAGATCAAGGTGTCAGGCTGTTTCAGGGTTTCTGTTGTGTTGGAGGGTTTGTTCGGGTTGAGGTGATTTTAAAGGTTTGGGCTCAGGGTTATTCTTTGTGGTCAAGGGTTCAGGCCTGTTTTGCGGCCGTAGGCCCGCTAGGGATTCGGGTTTTAATAGCTTTGCGGTGATGCTTACAGTAGCGCCTCGAATCTTTTTCTTGCCGTCTGCCAGAAAGCTGCCGCCAGGAAAGAGCCGCAAGTCGGACATCCGCGAGCCGTCAAGTGGGCTGTGCAAAGAGCTTCGGGTTGCGGAGGGCTCGAGGACGGCTGCAGGCAACCTATATGCTTTGCTAGCAATATGCGTAATGCTTGGATTGTAGCGCAGCTAAAACCATTTAGACCAGTTATAACCATGGCTAGAATCTATTCTGAGTGGGCTGAACATCCAAGTAAGACCAGCTGACAGAGTCGGTGTCTGATCCCAATTTTACATTTCCTCCTGGTAAGAAACAGCCACAGGGCACTGGAAATGGCACAAAAGACTTGGAAGAGCGAGTTGAGACCAAATGGCGGATGTGTGATGCATGGATCAACCACGAACAAGTCGGCGTGTCCCAATTCAATTGTCAAAAGCCTTAAGCATGGGATGCATTGAAGTCTGGATCGTTGGACCGTTGACCGAATCGACGATTCCAGATTCCTACTTGGTTGCTGTTGACCCCTCTGCAAAAAGCTTAACTCTTGTGCGGCCTACGGAATATCCACTGTGTCCCAAAAAGTTAAAGTCCAAAGATCCAACCACATAGGCAGCCATAAAGCTTGAGGGGATTATATAGATTATGCAACTGCAAAACCATGTAGTGCCGCGTTCCAGCCATTTCCGAGTCTGATTTGCCCCAAGACCCTGAAATAGAAGGTGACCACCTTTCGGAACCTTGACTAAATATGGAAACCAAAAAGTCACAAGGTCAACCCCCACAACTCGCCTCAAAACCCTGTGTCACTCGTATGCATTTTAATGGGGAACCACCTCAAGAGTTGTTGGTGGACATGAATCCCCATCTAAACAATGTCCACCAAATCGGGTCTGGGACTCCGGGACCCCTTAAAATTCACACCGACTTGAAATATGGAAACCAAAAGGTCAAAAGGTCGAAACCAACAACTTGCCCCACAGCCTTTTGTCACTTGAGGAAAATATGGAAGGGAGAAACCAGAAGGTCAGATCCGGTCGATTCGCTCTTGGCAACTGCCTGCTCTCAGACCGCTTCAGGGTGTCCAGCTTCAGCCGTGTGTCCCTGCCTCACGAGCATCTCAGTCACATCCCCCGACCCTGAGAGAAGCCGATTCTAATTTGATCCATAGAGTCTGGTTGGTTCCTCCCGTGTTGCTTGGATCTGTGATTGGTTGTGCGAACCCGCCAAAAAGCAATAATTTAGAGGCTCGAACCCACTGAGCAAACCAAGTACACGAAATTCCACTGGCAGTGGTCAAACGGACCCCTGCAAAATGTTCGACTTTTTGCTACCCAGAGGCTCCTGGGGCTTTCAATGGAAGACCCGTCCCCTCCATTAGACACCCCGGAGGTGCTTGGGGTTCTCAAAACCTGGCTGTTTGAGGGCCCAAACAACATTGGGAGCCTCTGGGTAGAAACATGTCCATGAGGCCAAAGCGAAGAGCCATCGCTTTGCGGTCTGAGGGGAAGAAGCAGCCTGCAACTTCTTGACAAAGGAAGGCCAAACACGCTTGATTCGTCCAGATCGCCTAATTTACCGCCCAGGTTCTTTTCCAGTGATTGAACCGAGCCCGCTCACAGCAGCAACCAACTCTACGCGTGCCACCAGTGAAAACTGGAAATGTCTTAAGATCAGAGGCTTCAATAGACTCCTTCTAGATATCTATACATATATATATTTATAATCAGAAGGGCAACTCCCAACACTCCAGGAGAGAAGCTTGCCGTCATTCTAGGCCTGCAAGATCGCGACAGGATCTTATTTATGGGTGCTATCACCCCGAAACTTGCTGGTGCTCAGGGAATGACCCAGGGCTTTCGGAATAAACTTTTAGGATTCCTTTAAAGGAAACCATGGATAGTTCTCTTGAGGTGCTGAGAACCAGCAGGAAACAACAAGGGAATCTCTATCAAACAACAAGGGCCCATGAAAACAAAGGAATTTCTATAAACCCTTGGTGTCATCCGGTTTCGCTTGAAAAAAGAACAAGGGCCCATGGCTCAGCTTTCAAGGTCCTGAGGAAAAGTGGGTTTGTTAGATTTCGGCCGCTTTGGAAACGGATAAACTTCAAAAAACCCATTGGCCGTGTTTCCTCTACTTCCTTTTTCGACTCCAAAAGTGGCACTGATTAGTGGAAAGAGCCAGCAAAGTGCAACTTTTTGAGGGGACATCCAGCGGGGACGAGCTGAATCCCCAAGAAAAGCAGAGTCTGGCTGTGTTTGGAAACACTCAATACATACAGTTGGGTGGTGGGTGCTTGTCTGTTGTTGTTTCTTCTGGTATGCTTGCTGTGCAAAACCCAAGTTCACACGTACGGTCCCAGTGGCAAGGATTTTCTGGGAACCATGTCCTATCCCTTTCTCGAAAGGAACCTACATCCGTTGCCTTGCGAAAGGAATGAACCACCCAAAAAGGGTGGGGATGACTTTGGGTCATTCCCACACCCGGAAGCATGGAGCAGTGAATCGAATTCAACCAGTCACACCCTCCTTGATTGGGGGTCTTCGTTGATTGCCGCCCACTAAAATGGCACCTGTGGGAGGCTACCTGGAAGATTCGTTTCCTCTTAGAGGGGCCAATTCCCTGTCAGGTGCCATGGCAGCGTGAGAGACTGGGTATATTTATTACATTTGGGTTATGGGTCAAAATTAAACCACCAGAAAACCGCAGGTCTTAGTCTTTGGTTCCATTTGCCACGATATTTTTTCAGCTTCCGTCCAAGTGGTAGTTTGGAGCCTGGTGGTGTGGTGGTGAAACGGAGGGTTTCCCATCCCTCTACAAGAGGGCTTCAATGCTTCAAATCCAAATCCAAACCACCACAGCTGCCCAATGAAATACATATACCCAGGTTTCCACGGCACAGGGAATGGGTCCCAAGAGGAAACAAATGCGTCCAGGTCGCCTCTCAATGTTCTAGGGGTTGATTCCCCATTTTTTTTGCAACCATCGTTCTTTTCAAGAACCAGCTGTTGCCCCACAGGGCTTTGGAGTTTTGAGAAAGAAGGATGCCTGGAAAGAACGGGAATGGAAGGTACCCCTAGAAATGTACGGGTCACCTCCTTTGCACCGCGTCATGGCCGCGCCTCGAGGCTTGGTGGCCAGAAACACCGAGTTCTCCGCCCTCACATGGACCGGGAGCCCGAGCCGGAACAAACGGGGTCCCTGAAACTAAGACCGTTTCTTGATTCTGTTTTCCCACAGGCTCCCGATGTTTTTTGGGGCCCTCAAACAGCCAGGTTTCGACAACCCTAAACACCTCCGGGGTGTCTAATGGAGGGGTCGGGTCTTCCATTGAAAGCCCCAGGAACCTCTGTGTAGTATCTTTAGACCTCAAACTGTAACATAGTTTTGGAGATGAGATCCCAAGTTTGTCCTTTGAGGGTCTCCCCCCCAAAAAAAAAGAAGAAAAAAAAAGAATCGGCGGCTTGTGTTTTCTGTTAAAAAAAAAACACCCAAACGGGTACCAGCAAACAAAAAACATATGAGTATGTGTCAAAATAGGAATCGACTCCCTGTCAGCATGGAGTTCTGTTCTGATTTTAGTGTCCCTTCGAACCAACCTGACCAATCTGAAAGCACACTCACATCTGGGTCATGGCTCCGAAAAGAGATAACCTTTCATTATACATGGGTCGAAGTCTTGAGGTTGACCATCCCAAGGCCAAGTATATATAAAGGGGTCTGAAAAGAACATGGCCATGTGTCAAAACCGAAATCGTACCCCCAGTGAACATCCCAATTTCCCCACTAAAATAGGTTCTAAAATGGGTGGTGCACCGAAAACCCCAAAATGGTAGCATTGGTTTTGAGCCATGGCCACATGGCCCAAATAAAGCTTTAGCATCCTCGCTGGTGTTTTCGAGTCGAGCGACATCATGGCGACGCACTCATGGGATTTGGAACCCCACCCCCCCGATTCGTCCGGGTCAAGCGAAACAGCCGCATGTTTTCGGGATTGGCTCGGATTTTGGGACCTGTCAAGGCGACCTCTCCAAAACGCCTGGGCCTGGCTCGTAAGAACTTTTTCCGGGGCGCAAAGAGCTGTCCTGACCCCGAATGGAAACACCAGCTTCACCTAAGCGACACTGCTGCAAGCAGCAAGCGCGTCAACCTCCGGCACTCGGCAACTTTTTGGGAAACTGTCCACCATCCAAATGAGGAGAAACGACGAACACATCCGAGGAAAGGAAAGCAGAAGAACACATCGTCACCGAGCGTCGGAAGTGCAAAACCAATAAAGGGGCATCTTACATATATTCTGGGAGGTCCTCAAATCCCCTACTGAAAGTCAACTTTTGGTGGGTCAAATGGAAATCCCTACTATACCCTGAAACCTGAAAACCTAAGAAAACGGCTTAAGGGGTGCTTTCGTCGGTTTTTCTTGCAGGCTCTGCTCCAAGAAACCGGTGCCAATTTGCCAAAGTCAGTCCATTGCTTGTGACTTTTCTGGCCAACACTTGCCAAACTGATGGCCTTGCAGAACAGAAAGAGCCCAGCGAAACACAGCGTCAGGTCCAACCTTGCCCCTTAGGGCTCGGCCACCATTTTGATGACTCGGTCGTTCATTTTGGGCCCTGTGACTTGCGAGGGCACCAAATTCCAGTGGCAAACAGCTGAGGGAATCGGCCACCTTTTGTGGGTCAGGTGTCAGAAGTGACAAGAAACAAACAACGACATAAGAATTGAACAACTGGGACACAAACACGCGCCCCTCTGGCATTCCTCCAAAAAAAAACAAAAAATCCTGCGCTTCCCTTTTTGCGCGAGCTTCTTTTTTTCTTTTTCTTCGAGTTCGAGAGCTCGAGAGTTCGAGTTCGAGACGTCTCGGAGTCTCGGCCGGGTGGCATGCGATCCATCTCCACCACGGATCGGAACTTCTCCACCGGGATCGGCAGCTCCTCGGGCTCCACGGGGAGGGGCGCGCGCGCTTCGCGGAAGCGCGGAAGCGGGAGGTGGCGGAAAGCGGGCAATCGAATGCCCATGGCTGCACTAGGTCCAGATTTGAGAGGATAGAAGAAGTTGGTACCAAGGGTACCCTTTTTTCCCCATGTTTTTTTGTTTTCTGTTTTAAGTCTATTTTAGGGGAACCCTCCCAACCAAAAAAAGGGGAGAGAAGGGCACGATCCTGGGGGACCTAGTCCAGGCGCCGGACAAAAACCTGAAGCCAACAAACACGAGACAGGGGGAACACGAGGGTCCTCGTAGAAAGAGAAAAAAGACGCAGTTTTCTTTTAGTGATCGATTCCCTTTCAAAAACCAACAAGGGAAAACATAACATATTCACAAGCAAATGGAACACACCAGGCCGACTTCTTTAAACAAACCCCTTCGGTGCCGCCCGGTTTGACAACCCCTCGGGAGCCAACGCATCTTCGTGCCGGTTCGGACATGGGAAAATGCTTGCGCGACCAGCCACAGACAAAACAAGTGTTAACTGGACCCTCCCCCAACCCTACCTTCAGGGGTTCCCCAATTCCATTTGTGTGCACAGGGAGAATGGGTTGCGATTTCTTTGAGATCTCCAGGGGTTGCAATTCAGTTGAGATCTGCAGAACCATTTGGACCAAATATCCGCCGGGCCCACCAGCCTGGGTTTCGTCAGTGAATCTGGAGTTTGCTGTTTTTCCGCCGGGTTGGGTTCTCAGTTGCCCGGTGATCCTGGTAGAACTATCTCATCTAGCCCTAGGAGCCCAAGACCCTAAATATAAGGGCCTTAGACCCCCAAAGGCCTCGTTATTTGAGGTCTTGGGCTCCTAGGGTAGGGAGTCTTTCAAAAACCGGCTGTTTTACCTGGGAAGGATCCCCGGAAAGAAGCGGGACACTTCCCCTGGAACAGAATGAACTTTTCGAGATCCACCAAAATCAGTGGGGACCCCATCAATGTTCATCCCAAAAAATAATTGGATCATGTGTTTGTTTTTCTATTTTCTATCGTCTTGGGATAGAGACAAGATGTCAGGTCGCGCTCAATGTTGACCAGGGCTTTTTTGTTAAAAGGCTTACACTAAAACCCAGAGAATCCTGACATGTTTTCAACCATGGGTCCCCCGGGTCTGTCCTTTTTTTCGGGACCCCTGCGGTCTTACTAGGGAACCCAAAAGAAAACCCGTCGCGCCATGTTGGGCTACCCAGAGGCTCCAATGGAAGACCCGACCCCTCCATTAGACACCCCGAGGTGTTTGGGGTTCTCAAAATCTGGCTGTTTGAGGGCCCAAAACATCGGGAGCCTCTGGGCTACCGAAAAAGACAACAGCCACCCGTTTCTCCCAGGGCCCTGGCTGTCACTGCCTCACGCCGGCTGTGCCTGGCGCATGTGGGCGGCTTGCGGTTCAGCTGGGCATATGGATATGGCCCCGTGGGCAGTGCGTCCCGCGCCAAGCCGGGAAGTCACTTTTTAGGGGGGCTTTCCTGTTGTCCCATGTAGAGGACCTTTTGATCAACCTCCATATGAGCAAAAGCAGTTTTCCCGTTCAAATTCCAGAGCTACAGGTTCTTTAGAACTTAGAACCATGGCTACAAGTTCCGTGTAACTATGGCTAAAAGTCAAGCAACCCCTCGTGTTCCCTTTATATCCATGGCTATATACCATTTTTGCCGGCCGAATGGTCACCATCTCGGCCAAGTACGCAAGGGTCGTTTGGCACCTCCACTACACATGATTTGCAAAACGTGGGAACCAAAAGGTCACATCAGGTTGATTTGCTTGGGGAAATTGAGATAAAGATAATGACCAAACCAAAGCGGTTTGGAATTCTGACATCAGTTTTCACCCTGGCGTACCCCCCTGATTTACTTGTCAAGTTCGGATCGTTCCCAGTGGGAAAATCAGCAAATCTGCTTCTCACCTCATTTGCTTGCCATTACAAGTGGTCTTCCCAAAAAGTGACTAAAGTCCAGGAACTCAGGAAGTGAGGCTTGGTCTGTTCCACAAATGGAACCCCAGGCCGCCCTCATCGGGTCTCGATCACCCTGATCATCGAGGGATTCGGTAAGGCTGGCCAGTTCCATTTGGCCATTCAAAACCCCGGTTAGCCCCCAGTGAACATCAACCAATCCCCACTAAAATAGGTTCCAAAATGGGTGGTGCACCGAAACCCAAAAATGGGATCCCATTGGTTTTGAACCATGGAAATTTATCCCAAGTAAAACGAACATGCTATCGCAAAATGGAATTCCAGCGCACAATTCCCATGAGATGAACCGCCTGAAGTCATTTTCGATCGCAAAGACTACTTTGCTGAGGACTGGGTGCTATGCTCCGTGACTCCATGACCGTTGTAGCAGGAGCCAGAAGATCTCATAATTAAACTTGAGAACGTCGGCGTCGGCAGCAAAAACTGCATCTCCTCAGTTGCACCTTGGCACCGGAGACCGAGCCAAGCAGGTAAAAGAGACTCACCTGTACATGCACAAGGAGATATCAACCTGTGCGGGAAGCGTGTCTCTGCAAAAGACGCCCTCTCACGGCAAAAGTCACGCGCTCCTCTTAAAGCATCATCTCTTCGCCGGCAAATCCGTGCGGCTTGGAATACTTTGTTCAGTTCGAGCTCGCTTGGTTATCATATTGCAACCCCCCTGGTATATTGCGTACGGATCCCGACTCTATTTTTCTGCCACCAAGAAATAGTTCAATTCAGCAAATTCTGTGCCCGCATATTCCGTGCAGCCGAAACAACATATGGGTTTGTTTCGAAATAGGGCACCCGAAAAATAACATTTGTAGCTTCCCTTTGCTTTCCCATTAAGCCAACCGCACAAAGGCTACTCTCAAGAAAGGCACGCCCACTCACCAGAGTAGCTGGTTTCCTGTTAGTTTTCCTAAAACCAACCAAAAGCGCCAAAAGAGGGTTCTTCCCCCAAAAACGACACCATTTGGTTGGTGTTGTTGGTTCTTCCCCCACACAAAGAGGGCTTTTCCTGTTGGTTTCCTTAAACATGTCACCATTTTGTGACTCACGCCGTGACTTTCGCCGTTCGACTCGGCGCGCGCCGCTCAAATCCAAATGTCGCTGGTGGAGTCGCCCCCGGGGAACCGCATCTCGTGGCAGGACACTGGGCCGTCCTCAGCGCCCGCAATCTCTCGGCACTCGAACTGGTGACCAATCGCGTTTTCGATTTCGGCCGCAACGGTGTTCTACTCTTGGCTGCCCTCAGATCCCCATTTAACTTTTAGCGGGTGAAATGGAAATCCCCACTAAACCCTAAAAAACCAAAAAGCAAAGGGGATGGCTGGGAGCCACCAAGTACTGTTGGCCCAGAAAAACGACACACAAAACGGGGGTGCCCTCAAAAAGACACACCCAAATACATTGTTAGAATGGAGGACCGAAAAGGAACGGAACCCCCCCTTTCCCAATAAAAGCCAAGCAAAGGGAGTCTTTGCACATGCACCGTGGGCTGCACCCCGTGACGATCTACATAAATGCATGTCATGGGAATAGTTTTCATGGACTGGAGGCAAACATCCAAGTTCGGGGCGATTCCCATGCTAAATCGGAACATGAGTGAGGCAGCTTGTGTTCGCGCCGTTTTGAGCGAGAACGGGAGGCAGAGCTTCCGTCACTTGAGAGTCAAACTCAGTCTAACACGCGCAGTGAGTTTGCCTGGGAAAGGGTCCCCCCCCCCCCAGTTGGTTGACCTCTGGCCTCATGCGTTGGATGCCTTGAAAGTTGGGACCATGTCTTCGCCGGCGCGCTGTCTGGTCACCCACCTTTTTTGAGGTGGTTCCAACTAGTGAAATTCATAGAGACATTGATGCATTGGTATGCGTCCAAAAAGGAAACCCACCAGCGTCCCTTTAAAACCACCCCTTTTCAGCTACCCTTCACACATTATGCCCGTGCCCAATATTCTGTCTACCCAAAACTCGTCTTGTTGATCGCCGGACGTTTTGAGCTGGTTTTACATGGGAGCCAAAAGGAAAACCGTTGTCATGTCCCATCTAAAAAGCATAAACCACAAACACAGCCATCTAACCTTTGAGACAAAAATCCCAAAAGGTGCTAAACTATAGGGATCGGAATCTAAAGAGCCACATATGTCGTTTGGTCTTGTGGGTCTCTTGGTGGCCCTGCGGGATAATTGTTCAAGGAAAACCAAACACACAACCACAGCCTAAATTGTTGGTCCAAATGCATTTTGCACAAACCCACGTGCAGTAGTACACCCATAGCAAAAAGCAACCATGCAAAGGTATGCACTTAAGCCTGCAATTGCAGACCTGAACATCATCTAGGGAATCTTGCGTCCGCCGGGAAAGGGCCGAGTAGCAGGTTCCTGTCCAAAGTCCACAAGGAACTCGGGGTTCACCTCGGATCGATCGACAATTTGAATTGACCAACCCGAAAGAAGAAATTGGTATGTGTGAAAAGCGGGGAATTCCCAAACTTCCTTGTGGTCACCTTTTAAACCAAGGTGAAAGGGTACCCTCGAAAATACAAGCACACACACACACACAGTCACACACACAGACAAATTGAGCCCAACAAGGAACTGCCGTCGAGGTGGCACACCCTAAAAAAGAAGTGTTGCATTCGCCCACAGATCCATAGAGCCAGAATGCAACCTCTGCCCAATCAGCCAAAAACAAACGCACACACACACACACACACACACCATTGACGTTTTCTCCACATGTTGAACTAGTTATCCTCACTTTCTCTGAAAGGAACCCCTTGAATCTGGCCGATTCGTGCAACTTCTCCATCCGTGCCACAAGGTGTTCACCCCGCGAGTTGCCGGCCGCAAATGTGTTTGCTTTTTGGGTCTCTCGCAGACTTGGATATAGTGGGCTCTTCGCGTTCAGTTTTGAATGAAGTAAGAATTAGCCCTTTTCCCAGTGACTGGTCAAATGGCTGTGAAAGGTCGATGTTGGGAGCGAGACGCAACAAGAGTGGTACTTCAACCAGGTCCAAATCAAACTGTGTTGCCTGATATTGAGCTCGGTGGAACATGGCACAAGGATAAACGAGGCAGCTCAAACTACCACAATCAACACGCACACATATATAGATATATACATATATATATATATATATACACATATATATATATATGTGGCTTCAAAGTGATACTTTATGTAGCAACCAGCGCCAAGCGTTTACCAGGGCTGTTGGGCCTTGTCCTGCGGGCGTGTTGCAGCGCTTTACACCATGAAAATCATTCCCTCAAAAAAGACATGTCCATTGCTTCCAACCCAATAGCGGTAGAGCAAAGGCTGGACTCAATCTGCTGTCACTGCGTGAACGCTGTGAGGTTCACTCATTGGTCAAAGTCGGGCTGTTTAGTGCGCCCAAAAGTAAGCCATGGGGCCCTGTTTGGCCAACCCAAAACCTTGTTTTTGACATCTCTGACAAGGGCTGTGGGAAATGGAATCCACTGCGATACAACAAAAAGGGCTCCCAAACACTAACTCCCCACATAACGAGGGAGATTCCCTTGTATCACAGATGCGGGGATAAACCCCTTGATCCCACAACCCTGTCCATAACCTTTTAGTATATCCCAAAACACGATTGATGGGGGTTGGAAAAGAGGGTGCAAGTCGATTTGCACATGTCTTCTTTTGCAAAGCCTTTGGGACAGGTTTGGCAGGTCGCAAGTCGCAATTCAATTTGTCCTTTTCGTCTTTTTGTTCTAGTTGAGTTCAATGATTGCTCTTGGAGAGCCGTTTGGAAACACATTGGCCGGCTTTTGTCATGTCCAGCTCCCGTTGTGGGAATTGCCCACTAGACCTTCCCAACCAATTTTCGAAAGGGGTATATATATATATATATGAAACATCTGACCTCGATGCCACATCTCTGCCAGAGACTAAAGGCGCCCCCAATTTTAAAAGGGCCTAGATTCAAGAGACCTCACCCCAACCAATTCTTCCTACGGAAATTGGGCCCATGCTTTTTAATCAGGGGCGATCCTGTTTTTCTGCCACCAGTGGGACCAGGACCAGGAAGGGATCCTGCAGGGGCTGATCCACAACAACAGGACCTCTTGTTCTACTATACGAAAACAGCAGCTGTTGGTCCCATTGCTGAAAGAGCAGAAAAAACTGTATGATAGGTATGCTTCACCAGACCAAACGAAAGTACGTCTTGCCCAAGCGAATGGCTTTGTAAGGATGTGCCAAATACCACCTGCCTACAACACACAGGAAACCTAACCAGATATGTCCACCCCAAGTGGTATGACCCCGAATGGTTCAGAAGGAGATCTGGGCATGCACATGTTGCGCGCTAACCCTCCCCTGAAAAAAAAAGGCTTGCTGGGCCCTTTAGAGTGAGCACATTGAGGGGTTCTCAAAGTTACGGCTGGGGGCGTTTTCCTTTAAACATCGATTTTTGTCAGGGCCGTTTTGAGGGTGTCACTTTAATGGACCCAGTCTGAAACGGGTCATGTTTTGATTCAAGGCCCCAAACAAACGCATATTAAACGGGGTTGAGAGACCCAAAGGCCTCGGGCTAAAAAAATAGTTGTGCACAAATGAGCAGGGCCCCCAACACCATTGACTTGTGGTTCAATGATGGCTCAGGCCTCATTGGGTAGAACTGCCTGACATTGCTCATGGCATTTTTGGCTACAAGGGCAGCGGGCAGCTAGAGTTTCGGGTTCCCTTAGGGTTCCTTTCAGCTTCTTAGGGAACCCCCACCCCAGCCTTCTGGGGCAACCCTTTTAGAGATTCCATATATACGTATATGTATATGTATACATGTCTGTGGGTCAAAACCAATGGTACCATTTTGGGGCACCACCCATTTTAGTCCATTCTAGTGGTCGGATTGGGATGTTCACTGGGAGTGCGATTTGGATTTTGACCCATGGCCATATTCCTTTCGAGGGAAACCCCCCTTCAACCCCTCATAATTAGAGTTAGGCCCAGTTATAGAATGTATATTTCATTCTTTGCTTCACTTTGAGTCACTGCTAAAAATGTCAAAAATGTATCCTAAGTCCACCCCAGCCCTCTTGGCCCCCCTTAGGGATGGAGCCGGTGGGGCTCGGGCTCGCTCGCCGACCGACGCCCGAGCTCGCCGAGGGGCTGTGAGGCCGCCCTTCTCCGTGTCCACGTCCAGCTGCAGGAGCTGCGCCCCCCGTTTCAACATCTCGGGATAGAACCTCAGCGTTTGGACTGGACGTGGCTGGAAAAATCGGACCCCAGCAAAAAAACAATGTGTGGTCCCCCTACACTGGGAAAAACACTGGGAAAACAGCCATTTTTGGGGTCCCCTACAAAAGACACCCAAAATACTAGGCTGGAATCAGGACCCCAGCAAACATATATATATATATGTATATATATATATATATATATATATTGGTGACTAGAAAACAAAGGGGACCAATTCCAAAAAAGCAAAACATCGAAAAAATATACTTGTTGCCTGGTTGGTGACTAGAAAACAAAGGGGGCCAATTCCAAAAAAGCGAAAAAAAACATCGAAAAGGGGAGCTAATTTTCTGGGGAAGGAGTCAGGACTTTGAAGAGACCCATCTCCAAAACTAAAAAACACCGTGGATGCGTGGGAGAATTGAGAGAAATCCGCTTGTTTGAGTGGTTGGCATTCTATTTGATTGCTATGGAGTAAACCTAACTCCACATCAAGAGGTCGAGTGGATTGGCCAAAACAAATCTCCAAACTGTTTGTTTACCACGAAAAGTGTCTTCCCAAAAAGTAGCTGAAGTCCAGGAACTCAGCAAGTGAGATGGAGTCAAAGCAATGTTGGGAATGGGATGAATCAAGCCCAGGGAGGCGGTTTCCAGAGAAGGAAGAGGGTGTGCCTTTTTTTTGAAGAAGAAGCAGTGTTCTAAGCCCAGTTACGGCCGAAGCGAAAAATATCAAATCCCTTCCGCGAAGGCTTCCGCGGAATGCAAGGTTCCTTCCGCGAGAGGTTTGAAGAGGGAATCGCTTCTGCGTCGCTTCCGCGGATCGAGAAATGTGATTGAAGTGTGTTTTCGCTTCTGCACGTGCAGGAAAACAACCATTGCGTATCTGCGCGGCCCTTGCGCGAAGGTTCCGATCGTACATGAGTGATACACACCTTCCGCGGACCTTTTGTGGCGCTTGCACGACCTAGGAAAAACCAACAATTTGAAAACAATATTTCCTCCCGAAGGCTACATTCAAGGGGTATTAACACGCTGCTCTGTTGGTACCTGGCGTTGAAAGGACCCCAAAAGGACAACCGCACAGTGTTGGGGTCTAGAAAAGACAAACCCGCCTAGCTTCAACACAGGAGAACTACAAACGTCCACACGCCAATATCGATAAATCAAAACAACGAGCCAAGGAGGAACCAAAAACAGAGGTTGACAGCCTTCCGCTCGGGAGCTGTCTGTCCCAGGAGGAAAACAAGGACGTGGACACGTAGAGACGCTTGCCGTCCAAGGAGAGCTGCACCATCTGCGCCTCACGTTGGATGCGAGCGAGTGATGTCCAGCCCCACTTGAGCAGAACTCCGTGCTTCGGACGTATCACACGCCAAAAATGCATGAAACACTCTGCTCAATTGGTTACAACACACAGCCCCTCCATACATTACTTCCCTTGTAGAAAAGGGATTTGTTCCTATGCTTGTCAAGGGTCGATTCCCAATTGGACCCCATTCCCCAATCCCAGGGGCAATTTTAGCCTCATATTTGTGGCAAATAGGAATGCTTTTGGGTGCCTTTTCTTAGAGGGGGTCCTCTCTTTGCGGGCGGGGGGGGAGCGGCCTAAGCGGCCTGGCGACCACAGTATAGTAGCGGCACGCCTTTCTTTACAGTACTGCGGGGGGGGGAGGGGGTGCAACGTGATCAACCCCTGGGCAAGTCCAGCATTTTGATCAAGACAGGGCAAACACGATACCGTCCAAAGTCTTGTGTGGAATGGTACCTGAATCCCTGGTGACCTCGCTTCATGATTCATTGATCTTCACTCCCATGGCTCCATGCGTCATGCCTTCCCTCGAACCTGAGTATTTGAGAATGCCCTGGCAGCAACAGAATAGAGGCGGCGCCCCACAAAGCACCAGCAATAGAGTCGGCAGATTCAGGGAGCACCGTCGCTCGGGGTAGTTTCGGGCAAACGGGGAGTGTGAACTCTGCTGGAACTATTCAAACTTTTCCCTGCACTGTGATTCTTTCATGGGTGATTTCCCTGCGCAGAGGGGTCGCCCAATACCTGCAGAATTCCCGCTTTGCTGCCCGGTGGTTGGAAACAATTTAGTTGTAACCGCCGGCATCGGTTCCAGAGTGCGACTGAAAAGGCAAAACGACCCCGGTGTTGCCCGAAGTGGCTCACCCAAGGCCCAGGTACCCAGAAATTCAAAAGGTGATCGCCCGCCTTGGGACCTTCAAATTCATAAGGGAAACCAGAAACCAGGAGAGCCTTGGACCTTCAAATTCATAACTTTTGAGAAATCTTGGACCTTTGGGACCTTCAAACTCATACCAAGGGAAACCAGAAACCAGGGAAAACCAAGGGAAACCTCCAATTTCATACCTTTCGGAAACTTTCGATTTTTTGGACCTTCAAACTCATACCAAGGAAAACAAGAAACCAAGGGAAATCAAGGGAAACCATCAAATTCATACCTTTTGAGAAAGCCTTGGATGTGTTGGACCTTCGAACTCATACCAAGGGAAGCCAGAAACCAAGGGAAACCAAGGGAAACCTTCAAATTCCCTTTTGGGACACCTAGGACCTGTTGGACCTTCAAACTCATACCAAGGGAAGCCAGAAACCACAAATTCACACCTTTCGGGAAAGCCTTGGACCTTTGGGACCTTCAAATTCATAAGGGAACCAGAAACCAGGGGAAACCTTAGACCGTCAAATTCATAACTGTTGAAAACCTTGGGCCTTTTGACCCTTCAAACTCATACCTTTTGGGAAACCTTGGGCCTTTTGACCCTTCAAGCTCATACCAAGGGAAACCAGAAACCAAGCGAAACCAAGGAAAACCTTCAAATTCATACCTTTTGAAAAACCTACTCATACCATGCAGAAACAAAGGAAACCAAGGGAAACCTTCAAGTTCATACCCTTCGGGAAAGCCTTGGACCTTTTGGACCTAACTCATATCTTTTGGGACGCCAGAAAGCTGAAAAACGGTTTGCTTCGCTGGTCAAGGCGCTCCTCCCTGGATCTCCACGCCCTTCACCTTGCTTGAAGCCGAGCCCATTGGAAGCCATTCTGAAACTGTACCCTAGGGTTCGTTGTATGGAGCCTTGTGAGGATCCTGCAAGGACCCTTGTAAAGATCCTTGTGGTGTCAGGAGCCTTGTAAGGGTCCTTGTTGTAAGGCTTGTAAGGCTCCTTGTAAGAATCCTATTTGCAAGAAGCTTTGCAAGAATGGCGGATAATTCAACAAATCAGGGGTTGCAGCCAAACGTTCCAACCTTGAAACTTGGACTCGTTTAGCTCAACCAGCCATGGGGATCCATCCCAGCTCAATTCGCGTGTATTTGGTCAAACAGAAAAAGTCGAACCATGATCCATGGCATTCTGCGGACAATCAACAAATACGGGTGTGTCTTCTTCGAGGGCACCGCTGTTTTTAGTGGGTTTAAAGAGACACCACACCTAACACCACACTTTGTGGGCATCCACATGTGCTACTCAAAGGGACGTCTGGATCAAATATGACTTTTTGGCAACATAGATTGCCCTGAATAGGGCATAAACCCAAACTAAACCAGGACAACCCATCTGTGTTCAAACAAAACCCAAAAGGACACCTTTTGGGGTTTATTGGGTGTAACCTCATTTATGTTGAAAGGCGTCCAATTGGGGATGCAGTCTATTTCAAACCAACTGACCCAAGCACTCCTATGCAGCCCAAGACCCAAAATCAGATTGCCTTTGACTCCCAAAGACCAGAAATAGTGAGGTCTTGGGCCTAGGGCAAGAGTGGGACATACCAACGTCCTTTGCCTGGGTAAAAACAGAAACACCTATTTCTCGTAGCCATAGATTTCCTGCACCAAGCTAGTGAGGTCTTGGGCCTAGGTTGCGGCAAGAGTGGGAAATGCAAACTCTTCTTCGGTAAGTGGAAGAATACAAACTCCCTCGCCTGTTTTTTTTTACATACACACGTTTTCTGGATAAACTCATACAAAAAAACACCTATTTCCCGCCATAGCTTTCCTTTAAACAAATACCAGAGCGGGAAATAGGAACCTGCTTGGCCCAAGAATACACACTCCCCCGCCTGGGTAAAAACAGAAACACCATATTTCCCGTGGCCATGGGTTTCCACAGATCCCCCCTAAAACCAAGAGTGGGAAATACGAAACTCCCCCGCCTGGGCAAAAAACACAAAACCACATACACACTTTTTCTGGGTAAAAAATACCAAAACACATGTTCATCCTTTTTTTTCTGGGACATACCGACATTTTCGTAAGAATACCAAAGCACCTATGTCCCGCCGTAGATTTCCTATCCAAAAAGAAGAAGAAGAAACAAAAAACCAGAGCGGGAAATCGGAACCTCCTTGGGCTCAGCGCGAAGTTCTCCAAGGCGGCCGAGCGGCCTTCAGCGCCTCGGGCTGCGGCTGGCCGTCCTTGCGCTTCACCGGGCCCCCAGCCTTCAGCGAGCCACCGACGAAGCACTGGCCCACCATGCCTCGCGCGAGCCGAAATGCCGAAATTCCACCTTTGGGGGGGGTCAAATAGGGTGTGTCTTGTGATCAAGGGTACCGCTTTCTGGTTTGAAAAGAAACCAACCAGAAAAAGCACCACTTTCTTTTATTCTGTTTTTTTTTTTTGGGGGGGGGGAGGGGGGGGGGTCCCCTCAAAAACAACTCCCAAATAGGTCAGGAAAGCACCGCACCCCCCCCCCGCCCAAACAACTGCTTTGTCCCATGTCCAAAATCCCAAGTGTCCGTACCCTTTGGTTTCGCTTTGGGCAAATCATGGTAAACGCAAGGCTATGCACCCAGACTCCCTTCCTTGGATTGGCAAAAAAGTCGGAACTTGCGGTTTCCCACTAGAATGGTTGCCAAAAAAGGTAAGCTCAAAAGGCAGGGCTAGGCGATTCAACTCTGTTTAAACCATAATAATACTTGCTTAAGCCTGCGCCAATTCCGGGCCTTGCGCATCGAAACGAGTTTTCACGTGGCGATGTCAAGCAACAAACCCCTGGTAAACCCTACTGTGGATGGGCGAAATCCTGCACCACTTGGAAATCATAGGGAAAGCATTGTTTGTTGGTATTTACACGGGACTCATGATTGCATGGTTTCTTAGGTGGCGCCTAAGAGGATTTCGCAACCATCCACAGTATGAGCCCAAGACCCTAAGTATGAGGGCCATTGTGGGCTACTGAAAGAACCTCCCCGACTGCAGTGTTCGCCTGCCTGAAAGCGGCCTACATCAAACCGGAGAAATGTGAGGTCCACCTTTGCAGCCCCCATCTTGCTGGTTTCTCTTTTAAGGGTTCCCACAAAAAAACGATCCCAGCAAGAGGGGCCATCTTGCTTGGGCTTCTTTTTAATGGGTCCCAGGTTTTCCGGAAAAAAACACCCCCAAAAAAACCTCACCTGTGGGCCAGGCAGGTGATGCTTTGCTTGGGAAGAATTGGATTCCCTTTGGTATGTGTTTTGCTACGGGTACCTGTCTCAGGTTGGTTTAAACGAAGCCAAAAGGGAAGCCACCATTCTTGCCGCCCCCCCCCCCGTTTTCACTCGAGCCGATTTGGTGAGGTAACAAGCCTCTTTATGAAGGTTCCAACTTGTTTTTCACTCGGGGGTCCAAGCCTTCTGGAAGATATGTGCGGCAACTGGTCGGTTTCTCTCAACTTGAACTCCCAGAATGCTTTCATTAGGTCTCGTGGGAAATGTGGGGCATGAGACCATCGCGTGAGCTAGGTTGAACCCTCTCTTCTTTTGTCCGCGCCTGGCAAGGTATGGGAAACAAAGAAGGATCAACTGACTACAGCAAGCAAGCTGAAGCATCCCCTCTCAGTTAGTCAGTCATATCACAAATAATGTTGTTGTTCCCAAGAACATTCCTCAATCGCCACCTTCCTGTGTCCGAATTTCTATCACCTACCCGCATCTCTGTGTTCGACATGCCGGGTTGGCCAATGCCAACTGAGAATCGTTGGAAAATCACACGTCGACCCCTTTAACATCCTGATGGAAGCATTGAAGACTGAATTTGAGCCTAACTTTGACCCATACTGTTGAAAGTGCTGCCCACCTTGCACCTACCCTCCTGCATTTTTTTTGTTGAGAAAAACCTGGAAAGCCACGATCCTGATGCAATTAGGGAACTGACGTCACCTACGGGAAGACAGAAATGAGAAGCCCCGCCTGGACAGCTATACTGTGGACCTTACAGTTCTTGGGCGGGCTCCGCAAAAGTTTTCCGCGAATGGTTCATCAAAGCTGTGGCGCAAAGTAAACAAAAACAGGTTGCGCAAAACCATTGGTCGAAGTTCCGGTGTCAATTTCCAAAATCATGCGCGATTTTCAACGAACTCACAGAACGTCGAAGTCCCTACCAGCTATGCAGCCACGCGCCCCTTCCCAACTATAACTCCGAAGAAGTCGTCCCAGTCTAGTCTAGATTTGAAGGAAGATCGGCTTCCACCGTATAGTGAGGGAAACTGTGTGTTTCGATATGAAGTGAGGGTTTGCGATTCGAAATGTCCATGGCCAGGCTCCAAGTCCCTATCCCCTCGGTGGCTTTTGCATGGACTAACTTGCCAGTCAGGTCCAGTCGAAGCGAATGGGCGGGAAGGGTGCGGGCTGCTGGCTGGGTCATTAGGACGCTAAACCCAAGACATATATAAGTAAGATGTATGCATGTAGAAACGAATGAACAAATTAATGGATGAATAAATTAAGAGATGAATGGATAAATGAATGGATGAATGGAACAATGCATGAATGCATGCATGGATGAATGGAGAAACGGATAAACGGATGAATGCATTGATGCATGAATGGATGAACGGAGGAACGGATGAAGGGATGAATGATAGAAAGGATGAATGGACGAATGCATTAATGCATGAATGGATGAAAAGATGAAGGGTTGACTGAATGAATGAATGAATGAATGAATGAATGAATGAATGAATGAATGAATGAATGAATGAATGAATGAATTAATGAATTAATGAATTAATGAATGAACAAACGAACGTACGAACGAACGAACGAATGAATGAATCCTGGAGCACCCGTCATTACCTAAATTTCTGCCCTTAGCCCAAACGTATTGCAAAACCAGGGGTCGTCACCAAAATATGGTAAACGTACACTTTTTCCTACTTCGAGTGTTTTCCCAAAATCGGGCTGGTCGGTCCTCCAAGATAATCGGTCGCTGAAATTTTCGAAAGGAGCGAGCAGAAATCGAAGTGCAAAACGAACGCAAATATCCGCAAAACGAGCGCAAATATCCGCAAACAAGTGCAAATTGTTTAAAAAAAAAAAAACGTAACAATGCCCGCCTTCCTCTGGATGGAAGAAGGGGATTTGGTCGAGCGTTTTTCAGGGGGCGAGCGTTTTTTTGGGGGTCGAGCAGAAATCGGTAATTCGAGCGTGTTTTTCTCGTACCTAAAAAAAAGGCACGTTGCGTGCCTCAGGATGAATGAAATAGTCATGCCTGTGGCCAAATTGGGAGAACATCTGCGAGCCTCGTCTGTCTGGGCTACCTGAAACGGTGAGGTCCCTAGATCTGAGCGGCGCGGAGGCTCCACGGAGATGTCGTACTGCCGCACGTCCCCATGCAACCAATTGGAGAAGTACAGGTACTTGTCCTGAAACCGTTTCAGTCATAACGCTGACCCAGGATGAATAGATCCGTCCCATTATTAGGCGGGGTGTTCTCTCCAAAAGTGATGAATCCCCACTAAAAGGGGAAACCACTTGAGTCACAATCAAAACCTGGCATTAACATTGTCTATACCCGAGGAGCCCAAGACCTCAAAATACAAGGCCATTGAGGATCTAAGGCGCCTCATGTTTTTCGGGAATGGGCTCCTAGGGATATGCAAAGACACACAATGGCGTCCGCACCCATTTCTGGTTGGGACACCCTTTGCTAACCTTAATCTGCCCGCGGCTTATTTGCCGTTTCATCGTTTCTCCAGCTTAGCGCCCCTGTCCAAAAATGGGGTCCGTTGCAGGGTGAGCCATTTTAGAACGAAACTAAAAAGCAACAAGGGCTACAACTGGTTTACTCGGGCTTCCCTTGGTTGACAATGAAGACCCAGAACGAAGAGAACCCTACAAATAGTCGTGGGACACAAGCCCCATTCTGTGACACCAAAAGCGGGATTCCGATCCCTATTAGGACTGTCACAATCAAACAAACAAACAAAGAAACAAACAAACAAAGAAACAAACAAAAAACAAACAAACAAACACACAAACAAACAAACAAACAAACAACCAAACAAACAAACAAACAAAGAAACAAACAAACAACAAACAAACAACAAACAAACAAACACACAAACAAACAAACAAACAAACAAACAAACAAACAAACAACGCAACGCAACGCAACGCAACACAACACAACACAACACAACGCAACAGGGAGCCGGCACATGGGGTAGCGCTTTTGCGCCCGACGCTGAAGACGCATTGGAAGCCACATTCCGTATCGGTCCGTGACGCCACATCCCCCTATGACTCCACATTCCCTGCGACGCCACATTCCGCCTGTGACGCCACATTCCCCCGTGACGCCACATTCCCCTGTCAAGGGATTCTCCTGTCACGCCACATTCCCCTGATGCCACATTCCCCTGTGACGCCACATAGCCCTGCGACGCCACATGCGCCTGTGACGCCACATTCGCCTGCGACGCCACATTCTCCTGTGACGCCACATTCCCCTGTGACGCCATTCCCCCTGACGCCGCCCCTCCTGCCGTAGGCCAGCCTTTTTCGTCAGGCTTCAAACCCGACACGCTCCCAAATGGACTTGGCTGTGGCGTCTGGCAAGCAGAAGCCGGGCCGCAGACTGCGCAAGGACCCAAGGCTGCGGCGCCTTTGTGAGAACTTCAACCGCGACGCAGCCTAGTGCTACGTCACGGTGTCGCCAAGGCTGAGAGGGAACCTTTTGTTGGGGAACGCGGCGCCACTGCGGTGTTAAAAGTGTCTTCAGTGTTAGCAACCACAGCGCAACCCTCATATTCCGACTGCAGGGTACGCAATTGGGCTCTTGTCTCTTTCAATTGATGCCTCGGCCTGCTGCAGCTGTAAGTCTTCGGCCCGGCCATCTACAAATCTTATTGCCCACCCACTCTCCGTGCTTCATTGCCAACAACTGGCCAGTACTGAGCAGCAAGCAACCACCATACGTCGTGGTTGACAGTTTGACAGTCATATTGAACGAAACGCCCGGCTGGTTGTAGCCTTCCACGAAACACTATAATTTCCATCCACCCAAATCTATGGCAAGGTTTGATGTGCGTGGCTCTTTCTCGAACAATTGCGCCAGTTTGTCAGTTGGCCAAGGATCGAGCTTTTTTCATAGGGATCGCCCTGTGTAAAACACTCCGCTCCAGGGTCTGAACGGATTTGTTTCGAGCGCGTCGCCAGTTGCAGAGTCACGCCCGAGACCCGGGGCAGCACTCGTTTGTTCGACGCACTGGTCGTTGCGCATGTATCTATATCTATGGGTAGGGGACAGGGCTCCCTACATTTACCTTCAAGCATCACCAACTCGCCCGGCTTGGTTTTACGGGGTGCTGAGAACCTGGGCGCTTTCAGCTCCCACTTCCGGCGGCTTCTTTTTTTTGCTTTGAAAGGTGACCTGCTAGACGGACACCTTTGGTGGGCGGGACTCGGGGAATTCGTCTTTGGGGGTGAGTTCGTCTTCAGGGGGGAATTCGTCTTTGCGGGGGGATTCGTCTTCGGGGGGGAATTCGTCTTCGGGGGGAATTCGTCTCTTCGGGGAGGAATTCGTCTCCGGGGAGTTCGTCTTCGGGGGAAAATTCGCCTTCGGGGGGGATTCGGCCTCGGAGGGAATTCGTCTTCGCGTCTTCAGGCGGGTGGCTGGGCTCAAGGTCTGCTTCTGGGCAATGTGTCTTCGGAATTCGTCTTCGTCTTCAGGCACAAAAGTGCTACCCCCCCTGCCGACACAACAAACAAACAAACAAACAAACAAACAAGCAAACAAGCAAACAAAAGGAACAATAACAAGCAAACACAAATAGAAACAAGCAAACAAGCAAAAAAAAAAAAAAAAAAACAAGCAGCAACCAAAGAGTAAAACAAACAATCAAACAAGCAGCAAACAAAGAGTAAACCAAACAATCAATCAAACCGCAAACAAAGAGTTAAACAAACAATCAAGCATACAAACAAAAACGTAAGCAAGCAAACAATCGACCAAGCTCGCCAAGCACAGTATAATCTGGCTCAACTCTGCAGTTGTCCAGACATATTTTTGCTCAGATGCCGCTTCATACTTGACTGGGCAGTTCTGACTATCCGCAGACCTACAACTTGCACAAATATCAAATCTGCCCTATACAAAGTCAGTTTGGAGACACAATATGGCTTTGGGTCAAAACCAATGGTACCATTTTGGGGTAGATGCACCACCCATTTTAGAACCTCTTTTAGTGGTTGGATTGGAATGTTCACTGGGCGGTACGATTCGGCTTTTGACCCACCATGATTTCAGCCGAGAGTCATCCAAGGAGATGCAAAAGTCAGTGATCAAGGAGGGCATGGCGGGCAATGCCCAGCCCTCCACCTCGATGGGCTCCACTTTGATGGCGATCTCCGAGACCCAATCGCCCTGAATCCGACGGCTGGCTCAGTGCCCTGGGGGCCCAAGACCCGAAATATGAAGGCCTTAGACCCCCAGCCTTGTTATTTGAGGTCTGGGGCTAGGAGTGGGCAACACCATACTCACTTGGCTAGTGACCAGCCCAAAAAACAAGGTGAAAACACTTCTTGGGCCACTAAAATCAAGGGAGAGCCACCAAGGACAAAAAGTGTCAAGTGTGTCCACTGACTGAATAACAGCCTAGTGGGCAACACCATCCCAGAGGAAAATCGTCCAGGATCCGTGCACCAAGCCGTCTTTTTCGCATGTTTTGCGTTGGTGGGAGGTTGAATGGTGGTATTGCTGTAGGTTGAACTTTGAAGGTGTCGGTCTGTTTCTTACCATGTTACTAAAGGAGTTGAAAGAAGTCAATCAAGTCGCTGGACACAAGCGAGCGAAGTGAACGACAATGACAACGTGGAGTCAAATTCTGCATGATCTGCTTTTGAAGACAAGGCACAGGGCAACCGAAGTCCCAGAGAGTTGCCATGGAAGTACACCTGGTTTCAGCTTGAACAAATCCTCGTAAGAGAAGCACCCGTCGGTAAAGTGAACTCTTTTTGCAGCCAAGTTTTGCTCGCTGGCAAAAGCATGAAATCATTATTTTTTAATTAACCGTACTACCCGAGCCTCCAAACAATTAAGTACACCCATCGAGCGGCAGGCAGTAGGGTCTGGAGCAAAAACAAAAATCGCATGATCCATCCCCAAAACGGCTTTTGGGAGAATCATATCATGTCCCCAAGAGCCCAAGACCCTAAATATGAGGGCCTTCCCCCAATGGCCTCGATTTTTCAGGTCGGCTCCTAGGGAATGTGCGCACGTCTCGCCCGCATCGACTCCAAAAGACCCTCGGGCGGCCGCTTCGCCGCTTCGCCGCGTCGCCTCTCGTTCCACGAAGCGCACCATCTCCGAGCTCAGCGCGTTTCCCACGTAGCCCTCGGCCTTGTCCTTGGGCTGGTGGCCACTTGGAGACCGGGGCAACCATCTACGACTAATCAGGGAACACCTATTTACGTGGCCCAATAGGAAAACAAGGTCACTCCTAGACTTCCAGTGGGAACTTACAACTTGATTTTCTGCAGTTTTTGCCAAACACGTCCAAAAGAAAGCGCGCTACACGCGAGCGAGCGAGCCAGCTGGCAAGAAACCAGTGCCAATCTTCTGGGCAGAGACCCCACAGCTTTGTTTTTGTTTGCGGGATCCCCCCTTTTGGTTGGCTCAAAGCGCGTTGCCCAGAGACCCTGGTAGAAAAAGGGCACCCTTTTTGAGATTGATCAGTTTTAGAACCCGCCGCACGCCAGAAACACGAGAACAGGAGTTCCTAACAACTACGAAAGCAAAACCAAAAAGAAGCCATTGCCCAGGGGACCCGAAACGCATTCCACGAGTTCCGAGTTCCGATCGCATGCGCAGGGCAATCATGTGTGTAGCATCTCCGAAAGGAACCCATTTGCAACAGAACCCACTCCAGAATTGCCCGCGAAAGCAAAGCCAACTGTCCGACTCCGAGTATCTGGGTTGTGAAGAAAGCGCACCTCCAGGGGGATCGCGCCCACACCCAGGTCGAGCTCCTTCGGACATGTTGCAAACAGAGAAAGCTGAAAGCAGGCGAAGGGAAAGGACCGAGTCCATTCACCTAGAGAAACTGATGGTCCGGATTCAGAATTGGGGATCCGGATTCACTTACCAAACAACATGCACCTTGCAAAACTTCTTCAAAGTTATGAAGTACCTGGAGGTATATCTCATGGCCTGAAAAACCATGCACCCCCTGGGCCCCACGAGAGAAATCGAAGCTTTTGGGTCTATTTGGCTTGGCCTACCATAAAGAAGGGGTACATGTCAACTTGCTTATCAGCTCATGCTATTGGATGCTTTTGGTGTTGGTTCTTGCCCCCCTTGAACAAAGCTTCACTGTTTCACGAGCTTCCCTTCGTGCTAGCTTATGTATTCCTTTTTGGGAATGATCACAAGGGTGGATGACTGAAATTCATGGCCAACGTTGCTTCCGAATCGACGAGGGACTGGAAGAAACAAACATCTTCATTTTGTCCCCCCCTGATTTTTCACAGGAACTCCGAAGTCTATGGGTTTATTGCAACCATGGTACACTTAAAATTGCTTGCTGTCTCCCAGATTTAAAAGGAGATCAGCATGTCAAATGCTTCTTTAGCATTCACAACGGTTTGTCTCAACATGATTAATACCCCAAAATGTCGCCGTGCTTCCTTTTGGTTTGCCTTCACATCATCCCCCAAAAAACTACGTTCTATAAATAGTAACCCTGTCCGAATTCGCCCGAGTCCCGAAAAAGGATACTGCACCAAACAACTCTGCCAAACACCTTGCCCAAAGGCTCCTGGCTTCGGCTTTGAATGGAAGACCCGTCCCCTCCATTAGACACCCCGGAGGTGCTTGGGCTTCTCAAAACCTGGCTGTTTGAGGGCCCAAAAAACATTGGGAGCCTCTGGGTGTAAAAACAATCCACAAGGGCGGATTCCCGCACCCAGTTCTGACGGTGCAGCAAAATTCCACTCGGAGTTTTGAGTTTTGCCCGCGCGCAGGTCTCGCACATCCCAAGATCACCAGCTCGGTCCTCCTGATTTGAGAGGTTAGAATAAGGGTACCAACTCTTTTCTGTAGTCTATTTTAGTAGGGCAACGCTCCCCCCAAAAGAAACGGTAAAAGGGCACTACTGGCGGACTTAGTCACCATGGCGCAAAGGTCCCCGCGCCTTAATCAACGTGCGCTCGGTCCAGTTCCAGACATAGAGCTTGCGCCCGTATCGGCCGTCTGCCACATGCGCCGGGTTGAAGCCGTTAGTGAAGCACTCGGGGTCGCCCCACCTTGGCTCAGGGATTCCGATCCGAGGACTTGCCAGAGAGTCGACTCCGGCACCACATGAGTCCGAATCAACAAACCCGGTACTCAAAATGGTCGATCCCCAGAATCATGTAAAGAATTGAGCAGGCGGCAGCTTTTTGTGGCTGGGATTGTTACCAACCTCCATGTACCCGGCTCCGCATGAGTCACAATCAAAACCTGGTACTCAAACCTGGACCTTCCTGCATGCTCAAAATTTCTGCCTTTTCGCTACGAATTGCTTTTTGGGGCAATTGCGCGTGTTTTTTGCCTACGGCCTTTTTTTGCTCAATTTGGGTGTTACCCTCAATCTCCCCGAATCTACAGGCGAAAATTCCCGACCAACAGGCGAAAATTCCCGACCAACAGGCGAACATTCCCGACCGCGGCGCAAACAAATATGACCGCCGGCGTTGTTTCGCCCCAAAAGCATTTTTCCACACTAAAGGCACAAAACACGTGTTTTTTTGCCAACGCCTAAAATTTTGGACCTCCAGAAGGTCCAGGAATGGCTGTGGCTGAACATGATGTACCCAAACGGCACAAACGGCAGATGGAACCAAAGACTAGAACCTGCGTAACCCTAGCTCTTTAATTTGGAGCCATACCCAAATCATTAACCCAGAACCATGTAAATAATTAAGAAGGCAGCTATGGCTAGGATTGTCCCTAACCCGGGTTTTGATTGTGGCTCACATTCCAAGGGACACCACCACTTGGCACCCCG